TATGTTGAAATCAAAGATAACAACAGGTTAAAACAGAAATTTTTAAGTTTTTTTATTATTCTGCCATTCAAAAACGCATACTTTTTACGAATTTTTAACAAGTTTTTTTTAACTATTCTTAACCATTTTAAATAAACCTTTCTTTTAATTACTTTTTAGGTTGTTTACCTAATTTGAATATTTTATTAGGTTAATCAATTATTACTGCTGGCTTGTGACTTTGGGGAAATGGTCTTAAGTCGGCTGGCTAAATTTCAAAATTTTCACTTTTTCAAAAGAATTATATGTACAATTTCATAAATTATATAATTGCCATAGTTTATTCGATACTATAGCTTACTGGGTACAATAGTTTAATTGACATTTGATTGTAGATTAGACTTTTTGGATTCATTGAACTTTTAGATATTAATTAAAGTTTTGAAATTTGAAATTGTTTGATTGTTTGGCTAGAAGTCTGGATGAAGTATCAATTGGCTTTTTGTTAGTGACCTATATCGTTTTAACGAGCAAAGACAAGTAAAATATATGGCTGTACAGTTTGCTGCTAACAATTTATGGTAAAACAGTTATAGTAATTAAAAGGTTTTTGAAAAATATGCAAATTTTCATTGCCTGCATTGTTCAAACGTTTAAATTTGCATACTGTAGAAAAGTGCTTGCTCTATTGTAACTTTCGAGAATGGTTGGTAAGGGCAGGGTAGGGTAAGGTACTAGAATAGGGTAGAAAAAAGAAGAGTAAAAGAGAGAAAAGCAGGGTAAGATAGGGTACGATAGGGCAGGGCAGAATAGTTTTAGGTTCAGCTTGAAAGCTAGGCTTGTCTTTTAAGTCCTGTCTGTTTTTTATTTTGTTCAGGCTTGACCTGTGTCGATTAAAAATATTTAAGTTTATCTTGCCCTACGTGATTGGAAAATCTTTCTAAAAAATTCAAAATTTAATTAAAGTTTTTTAAAGAGGCATTTTTCTGTCTTTTCTATTATCTGTCTGCTTCTATTTCTATAATGACCCCTACTTCTGCTGCAAAACACGTATTTACTTACTCTTATGATAGTGTCTGTTCTATTCTTGATAATGTAAAAATAATGATGTAGAGGCTTTTGAGGCCTCTGGCTTATTAATTTATTAACACTTTTTATGAGATCTCTTTCCATAATTTCCTTTCTTTACGGATTACTTTGGCCACAATGCCCCGGGCTCTATATTCGTGAAAACGTCGAATACTTTACATTGTTTTTCTTTTGATACTAGCTGTTTTTTGTTTGATACCATGTATCTATGGTATCTTTTGCTTCATTTTTGAGCTCTTGGTAGATTATTCTTTAATCTTTCAGTATTGTACAGGCTTTACTATGGAATTACACTGAATATCTTCTGGCTTTTGGTAAGTGACCTATATAGGATGAAAGAGCATGAAAAATTACAGGGAAAACTATGTTTGAAAACTGCGAATGTGTCAGTTCATTCGCTTAGTTCAAGCCGAAGGACAATAGCCAAACAGCGTTTTCTATGTAAATTATTTGATCTGTAATATCTCGCTAGCTAGGATTGTTGAAAATTTTTAAAAATGGTTTTTTTTTGCTAATTTTTAATGCTCTTTCATCCTAGATATCTCTTGTTCTAGAAGCTAGGGGATATGTGGTGCAATTTTCTTATGAGCTCTTCTTCTATAGGCTACATATTCAGTATGCATTTTAACATATACAAGCTTCTATTGAAGGTTATAAGTTGTGTTTTTCATATCCTATTATCCTACCTTAACTTAATCTACCTTTTTAGTCGCGCTTTTTATAGTTTTTACAAGGTCCGTTTCACAAAAATAAGGTTTGCAAGTCTATAAACTATTACTTCCTTTACTAACTGAAAACTCTGTTACTTTTATCAAATTTATCTCATTACACCTAATTTTGTTTATTTTCTTTTGGTAATTTGTTTAGAAAGGAAAGTGAGTGTTTGTGGGAGGGAAGAGGATATAATAACATAGATGTACTACTAGGGTTGAAAAGACGGGTAGTAGGGAGTAGTGCTAAGGAGTGGAGAGGGGCATGGAATAATTTTAAATTTTTAGTTTTTAAAATGAAGATTTTACTTACCAGACAAAAAATATGCTCACTCTACACAGGGGCGTCGGTAGGGGTAAGATTGAGGGAAACTCTCAGAGCCGGTTTTCGAAAAAAAAATTCCGCAGTTAAAACCTGTACGCAAAAAAAACAAAAAAAAATTGTCGATCCCCCCCCCCTCCCCACCCTTGGAAAAAAAATCGGCAACGACGCTCCTGGTTCTGCCCAACTCTACCCTATGCTATGATAACTGTGGTACCTTACCCTATCCTACCTTACCTTATCCTACTATGCTTTATTCTATCCTACCATACCCAACTCAATCCTACCCTACCTATACCCTATCATAACCTACTCCACCCTACCATTATCAATAAGACAATTTATTTTTACGAGTTGGCCAACTTGAAAGTCGTAGTAAGCAGTAATGTCTTATTGTTTTCCTTTCCCAAACTTTTAAAAATTCATTGTTTTCTCGTTTCCGTAAAACTTTCAAGTTCTCATTTTTAGTATCCTAGCACTTTTTATTTATTATCCCAGACGTTTACAGTGTCGCGTTTCTCTATAACAACATGCAACACGAAGAGAGGGGTAATGTTCTTGGAATGTATTTTTAATGTTATTTTTTGTTTTTGAGATCATTTTAGCCTTAGGGGTTTTAAGGTTTTTGAAAATTTAAAATTTTAAAAAATTAAAAAATTTGAAAACAAAATTGCTTTTAGGGGTAGTGGAGGCTTAGTGGTTTTGGATAGGGTGAAGAGAGGTCAAGAGGGGGAGGGTAAGTTTTATCTTTCGTTTTTTTTCAGTTTTTAAAAACTTTTTATAAATTCATCATGAGAGACCACCTGCGACTAAAACAACACTTTTTTGTAGTCAATTCAACATTTTACTGTACCTACTTTCAACAAACCTTTATATAAACACCGTGTATAACGTTTTTCATGGGAAAAGTAACAAATATAACACCTATATTACTTTATTGCGTGAGTAAAATGTAAAAATAGTCACGAATTTTACGTAGAATTTGATTAAATTATTATTGGTTGAATGGCCGAGTTATGTTGTGCTTTTCTGGCATTGCAAAAAAATGAGAATTAATCTAAACTTCTTTGCAAGGTTAACTAGGTGAATGAGTACGGTGAGACAAAGTATTATAAGGTATTACAAGGTAGAGTAGACTATGACAACATAGAGTAAAGCACTACTAAGTGGGGTGATGTATGACATGGTAGAGTAGGTTGAGAAAAGTTATAAAAAGATATGACCATATAGTTGGGGCATGACAAGGTAGGGAGGGCAAGGTATGATAAAGCTGGCTACGACCAGGTAAGGTAGTGGATAGGGTATATATAATGGGTAAGGTAGGGTAGGGTAGGGTAGGGTAGGGTAGGGTAAGGTAGGGTAAGGTAGGGTAAGGTAGGGTAGGGTAGGGTAGGGTAGGGTAGGGTAGGGTAGGGTAGGGTAGGGTAGGGTACGGTAGGGTAGGGTAGGGTGGGGTAGGGTAGGGTAGGGTAGGGTAAGCAGGGCATTAAATTGTAAAAAAAAATATTTTGTATGCTCGTATTTTACAATTCTTCAAATCTAATTTTTTTAAATTTGTCATAAAGGTCTAATCATTGGCCTTCTGTTCTAGGAAAGTTTACAATTTCTTTTTGGACCAAAATGCTATTTTAAAACGGATTTTATTGCATTTTAATGTTTTTACTGCAAAAATAGTTTAAAATTCAATTTTGTTCTTTGAACCAATTTTTTTAGCTAAAATTTAAATATTTATAATTTTATCTTTGTATGTGACGTGCTAACGTTAAAGGTCAGACGTGTTGCCATGGGGGATATTGTTGTATATAAAGGATGGGTTTTGATGGGATTTATATTTTAGTTGATTTGAACCGCTACTTGCTGTGATCTGAAAATTTTAAATAGTTTTTTACTGTGTATTTTTAAAAATGACACAAAATTTAAAATTTAAAAAAATTTTTTTTGATTTTAAAAATTTTGTAGTACTATATAGTACGTAAGGTAACCTGCTCTTATTTGTGACCAAGCTACATAGCCCTCACTACCTTATTGAACGTAAACTTTAGTCTGTTCTTTTTTTTTAAATACCATGGGTTTGTGCATAATTAATTCATCGTACTCAGTCAGCCAATTTTACGTATTTGCACGTGCTGAATCGTTGAAAAACTTAATGTTTTACTAAACTTTTGCACGCGTTTTAGGTAACATTTGATCAAAACTTGGTAAATTCTATTTTAAATTTGGAAGTTTTAAAAATTTTAAATTTTAAAATTTTGTGTAGAGCTGTTCTTGATCAGGGAAAGCAGGTTTAGAGCCTAAACCTTTAGATATAGAGACCTTCTTTGACATTGAAACCAAACAACCATAACTTCCGATACGTTTGAGCCACTTCTAGTAGTACCAAAATGTTTATGATGACATTTGTAGTTTTTCAGTTAACTCGAGTACTTTTACGTATTACACTATATAATTGGCGGTAATTGTTTTATCTCAAAATTGGGTCAAATTGGTCTGGTCAGTGGTAATAGTGTTGGACTTTTGTGTTTTATATTATAATAGGTACAATTTTACATCATAATATAACGGGCAAAGGCTGGAAGAGAGGTAGGGCGTGTGAGAGAAGAACAGTTGTTACTTGACTTTACCATATTGTTTTGATTTCTCCCCTACCTTACTCTACCGTACCCTATCCTAACATGCCGTACCCTGGATTACCCTAATCTGTTCATTACTCTTTCTTACCCTACACTACCCTACCTTGCTCTACAATACCCTGTTTTACTCACTCTAGTACACAGCCTTCAAAGTTGCTTTTGTCGCGAAAAGCCAATATTTTAAAATTTTAAAGTTTAATGTTATGTAAAATAAGTGCTTTTTTTCTTTTAGTAAAACATGTTAATGTTAATGTAACGAAGCCTTTAAAAATGACAAAGCCAGAACCGTTGAGGTTTCGAGTTGTAGTGCTTGGCTCGGCCAAAGTTGGCAAAACGTCGATTATCAAACGGTTTTTGAATAATGAATACATGGAGAGGTACAGAGAGACTGTGGAGGATCTACACAGTAAGGAGTTTACTGTCAAGGTAAGTTTTGTCTTATTTTTTAAAATTTTTTTAAAATTTTTATTTTTTTGAATTATTCAAATTTTTTTGTCATTTTAATGACATAGTGCAAACCTCCCCCCCCCCTCTTCCAGACATTTTTACTCAAATTTTAATTATAATCTTGTTGTTATGTCATGTTAGTCATAAAAACAGTCACGTTTCTCATACATAATTCCCAAAATCCAAAGCAGACAGGAGGGGGTAAGAATTAAGAAGTGTTAGTTTTAATATTTCAATAGCATCACATAGTAAACAATGTGACGGAAGAGGAAGAAATGTAGTCAAAATAAGGAAAACAATCATCTTTAGGGCTTAAAAAGTAAAATTTTTTTAAAAAATATGATGGTTTTTAAAAACTTAAAAGGAAAAAGTCAAAAGTTGCAATTTTTTGTAAAAAAAGGGCTTGCAGCCTACGCCCATACTTTAAACAAGTTCTGCAGCCTGCGGAAATCACTTTTCTTGACAAAAAGTAAATCAATGTAAAAGATTATGTTTGTACAATGTAGTGAATGCCAAATTGAACTAAAATAATCATTTTTTATTTTTCCAGCCCGCGCCCTATAAAAAAACAAGAATTGCAGCCTGCAACGTCAAGAAAGCCTGCTTTTACAGCCTGCGCCCGCAAAAACCCAATTTTTGTTCAAAATAAAATTAAATTTTAAATTTTAAACTTATAAATATACTTTAAAATTTATAATTTCCAGAACATACCAGTGGTATTAGACATATTGGACACCAACTTCAATTTCCCTGACATGAGAAGAGTGGCCATTGCCTCTGCCAATGCCTTTATCATTGTATTCGGCGTTGATGAAGTTCAAAGTTTCAAAGAAATGAGTGATTTGTGGCAAGAAGTATCTGAACGACGGAACGACTTCAGAGAACTGCCATCTGTGATCGTGGGGAACAAGGAGGATGCTCCGAACAAAAAGGTACCTACTATTAGGTTGTCCGGAAAGTTCTGCAATATTTCAGTAGGTAAACTTTGAAAAATCAGGAAAAATTTATTTCTTGACGGAAAGAAAAAATTCTTTTTTTGTTTGTTTGTTTGTTACCTAAATTATTCAAAAAGGTAAGTTACATAACTTAATTTCATTTTTTTGTATTGTTTTAGGTATTAGAAAAAATGGAGAAATCTCGCCTGCGCGTGATTATATGGAATGAATTCAAACGCGGAAATACTGCGGCAGAAACCTTCAGAATCATAAACGAAAATGAGGGTAAGAATGTTGTGAGTTATTCTACGGTGACCAGATGGTTCGCAAAGTTTCGTGTGGACGATGAGAAGCTTGAAGACAAACCACGTGCAGGAAGACCCAGCAAACTTGACAAAGATGCCCTGAGGCGCAAGATTGAAGATGACCCACATATTACAATCCGGGAGTTAGAAGAGTTACTAAACTGTGGAAAAAGTACCATTGGTGATCATTTGAAGGCAATTATGGTCAAAAAGTTGGACAAATGGGTGCCTCACAATTTGACTGATCTGGGAAAAGCCAAGAGACGATGTGCTTCCGAAAAGCTTCTGCAACGCTGCAAAAACGAAGAATTCTTGGATCGAATTGTAACTATTGACGAGAAGTGGATCTCGTTTAACAATACTAGAAGATCTACAAGTTGGTGTAAGCGTGGAGAAGCTCCTAAGCACGTTCCGAAGCCAGAATTGCACGAAAAGAAGCTTATGGTGACTGTCTGGTGGTGTAGCTCTGGAGTGATCCAGTACCATTTCATGACACCTGGCCAAAGTATTACGGCCGACACCTACTGTGCCCAGATTGACAAACTGCAACACAATCTTCCAACAATGGTCAGAAGGAGGGGTCCGATCATTCTGCAGGATAACGCACGGCCCCATGCTGCAAAGAAGACCGTGGCAAAATTCAGGGAACTGGGATACGAAGTCTTGGAGCACCCTCCTTATTCTCCAAACTTGGCTCCAACGGACTTTCACCTTTTTGAACACTTGTCTTCGTTTCTTAATGGAAGAATCTTCAAAACTCCAGACGATGCCAAGAATGCCTTTAAGAACTTCATCAACTCCAGAAACCCGGAATTCTACAATCGTGGAATAAAAAAGCTTGTAAATCGTTGGCAAGACTGTATTGATTCAGACGGTAATTACTTTGATTGATTGTAGTTGTTAATTATATTGTTATTATTGTTAGTTCAAAAGTGAATAAATATTGCAGAACTTTCCGGACAACCTAATATAATATAGGAAAATAGGTTTTTTGGCTAGGAAATTGGGCTTGATGTAGAATTAATGACTTTTTAGCTAGATGATAAGGTTTTTTGAAGCTTTGTTTGTTATATTATATATATTTATATTATCCTTTATATTGACTTAGATTGATGCAAAAAGAATGGCGTTTTGAGCCATATAATGAAGTTTTTTGATTCTTCCTTATATTAGAACATTTTTAGTTATATTATTCTTTATATTATCTTATATTAACCTTTATATTTCTTTACATGGCCTTCAATAACCTACATTGTTACAGATATACGAAGCCACAGCGAACGCCTGGACCTCACGCCTGAACGCGAACGTGCGCTACGTGGAAACATCGGCAAAAACCGGGTCGAATGTAAAGAAAATCTTTGCCGATTTGCTGGAATTAAGCCGTTTCCCCGAAGGCTACGAAATCCCTGAAATTCCGATAAAACAAACACCTTCTAGGACCAATTCACAAAAAGACAAGTTGAAGAAAATCAAGGAAATACATTCGACTACTAACAATGAAGTAGGCCTTATTTTGAAGTTTTTCTTTGTAAAATACGCTAATTTTAGTAGGAGGGTATTTTTTACGGTTAAAAATTGATTTAGATACTGGAACTCGCGTATAACGAACTTCACTATAAGGAAACTCTCGGATAACGAAAAATTTTAAATTTAAGGTTGATTAGTTATACAGGTGTTTAATGTAGATTTTTTAGAATTTTGAAATTAAAAAATATTTTTTTTTAGATTTTTTTAAAAATTTTTTAAAAATATATTTTAAATTTTCAGGAAGAAGAAGAGCTATGTGAAAGAATATCAACCGGGTTAACCTTGCCATTTGATCGAATTGGAGTTTTGAGGAGAAATCACTCGGTTCGGGTAAGTGTTTGGCCATAAAATCAATAATGGCGTGCTGTGAAACTTTACCTCTGTGGTACTATACCTGTGTGCTATCGTTTATTCTGTCAGCTTTAGAGTATGGTTAGGTTAAATTTACCTTACGTTATTTTACCCTACAGTATCTTATCCTACTGTACCTTACTCTGCTCTACCCTACCTTGCCCTGCCGTACCTTATCCTACTCTACCCTACACTGTCTTACCCCATCCTGCCAAACTCTACTCCAGCCTGCTTGACTTTACTTTACCTTAACCTACCTTTCTTTGCTTTCGCCTGATTTGCCTTGCACTTCTTTACTTTACCTTATCATACCCCAACTTGCGCCATCATAACTTACTCTGTCATACCGTATATTATCCTACTCTGCTTTGCCCTACCCTACCATACTCTTTTCTACCCTACCCTATTTTATCTTGCCTTATCCTACTCTAACTTTTCGTGCATTTATTACCTAAAACTAACCCTACTAACCTTAAATCTTCATAAAATCTCTTCAAACGTATTCCCTTTCTACTACTTCCTTACTGTCCACTTTCCTCAGGAGCTAACCCCATTAACCCGTTAACGTTTTGGTGCTGACTTTAGGTTTTCCAGTTGAATCGAAAAGTACCGGTCGATAGCAATCAATCACGGGACGATGAGTCTGTATTCAGACATAAGGGTAGCCTGATACGACGCACCAAACATATGTCATTGAAGTTGCACAAAAGTGACACGAGCAAGGTGATTCAATCACAGGCCAAAGAGAATGAACAAGAATTGTCAGACTGTCGTGTCAGTTGAAGGGTGGTTTATATGGTAAAATATATGGTAAAATACGGCTGTAATTTGATAGACATAACTACAGTTTTTCGTATTTTATTATTTTTTTTCTTTGGTATACTCTTCATTCCACTTTACTGGTCTTGTTTTACCTACAATTACGTCTAAATGTATTTTCTTGTGACTTTATATTGTAAAAAATGTGATATAAAGTATTTACTACGCTTTTCATAACTTGTAAATACGTTTTCTTCTCGTTTTTAAGTCGATTTTTAAAAGCAATGTTATTTTATATTACTTTACAAAACACATACACCGTTTGGAGTTTCAATAACCTGTGAACATATAATGCTATTGGTAATACAATGTGATCTGTAATGCTATAGGTAATACAATCTGATCTATTAGGTTGTTCAAATAATTCTGTGCTCCTTAATCTCGAAAATTTGTTATAAAAGGGGGCACGGAATTATTTAAACAGCAAAATATGATACTATTTGGTAATACGATTCAATCTATAATACTATAGGTAATACAATTTGACCTACTACAACAATATCAAAGTCAATCTATTGCAACAAAATTATACAAATAATATTGTACTTTCTTTAATGTCTTTTGTTTAATATTACAATAAAATTACATGTAAAATCGAATAACAATAGTGAGTCAAATGTGAAACATAAAAATATAAAAGTTAAGGACAATATCATATACATCAAGAACAAAATACAGAGGATGATAAAAAGAACTTTAAAACAAGGTATATTCTGATAGTAAAAAAAGTATAATTATGATTACTACTATCAAAGATAGAATCCAACATGCAACGTTCATATCCTTCTCTCTTCAACTTTTTTTCTGAACGTTCCACATTAACATAAAACCTTTCCTTATAAGATTAAAAATGAAAGCTATTTATAGTACAAGACCCGCTATAACACTGAAATTGTATGTACACGTTAGTATGTATACATACCCGTAAATATTTTATTATACATATAAACTTGGCTAGATACAGTAAGCATTGATTTGTTACTGTAAAATCAAACAGTTTGTAGCAATGATCTTATAGTAACTTCTCACTACATCCACGAGCTGATCATGTTCGTATTCCCTTGAGTAGGTCGTACTCTGCTCGAGTATAGTACACCATTCTTCATCTGTAACCCATCATCCACGATACGACCATTACTATGGTCTCTGTGTCGTATTATATTGTTATATTCATTATTGTTGACATTTTTTTCATTTCCGTTACTGTGACTTCGTATCTTATTTTTTATGCCATTTGATCGTATATTGCCATCATATTTTTGATTGTTACCATTGTCGTATCGTATGTCGTTACCATTGTTATTAGTCCCGTCTTTGTTCATATTATACTTGTTCTTGTTACTATGCCGTATTTTGTTGTTACTACTGTTACTGCCATTGTATCGCATGTTGCTGGAGTCACTACTGTCGTATCGTATATTACTATCATCAATATCTCGTCGTATCTCCGGTATATCATCATTATTTCTTGAACTAGCAGAACTATAGTCTTTTCTTTCAAACGATTGTCGTATACGATCAACTACATCATTATTTACCCCGTCATTTACTCTGTCATTTACTCTATCATTCACTCCGTCATTAACATTTACTGACCTCCGTATCTCACTCTGTACCAAAGTGCCATTACCGTATGTTTGTCGTATCTGTCGATCAAGATATCCCTGAGTCATATCAGTGACTGTAGGATCTACCCCATCTACAACATCGTCATCCGGCGGTTGTTTAAAGAGTTTGTAGAAGAAGTTGAAGACGTACGATATCAAGTAGATCCCGATCTGAATCATGGTGATGATGGACAGCCCCAAGAAGAACCCAAACTGACCTCCAATTTGTGACATGAAGCCAGGTACTGAAGTCGTATACACTTCCTTAACATGCTCGTACTGTAGATCGTAGAAACTGGCTTCCAAGTTGAACTTGAAGCCAGTAAAGTTGTCCAGAGCTTGACTTTGTTGTAGAGATACCCCGTATTCCCATCTCTTACATCCTGGTACACATTCTTGACTGTGAACTGAACCAGAGTGTACCAGCTGGATCGTGTTGAAGTATTCTCGTACTACAACTAAAGGATCACAAACATTACGAGCTGGTATGTCTGGTACTTCAGTGAGGTAGGGCAGGGTACAGTTGAACTGGTCGATTAGGTTGGAGTTAAGCCAGTTTCGGACGAAGCAAGCCGTGTCTTTGCCTTCTATCTGGAAGGGTTTGAATTTTTTAAAATTTCAAAATAAAATTTTTTTTTAATTTTTAAAATTTTTTTAAATTTTTGAAAAAAAAAATTGATATTTAAAACTTTCGAGGAAGTTAAAAACCATTGCTTAATACCTGTACCACAATATATTGAACGAAAAACCCCTTACATCACTAGTACAATCCTTTGGATGCTCCAACAATTCGACCAGTCGAGCCGTGAAATGCATTCGATTCCACTCATTTGGATAAAGATAAAACCTCGGGAAATCCAAGACATAATCAAAGTTGTCATTGATGTAGATGATTATTTGGGGCTGAAATGGGAAGGTTTATGGCTTTTATATTATAGTAGGGTAATGTTTTTTGCATTTTTGAAAAGGAGGATTAGTTTTAAAAGCTCGGTCCATTTTAAAAAAAGTATAACATAAATTTTTGTATATTGGATTTCGTATTTTACAAAAAAAATGTAAATAAAAAATAAAATTTATAAAATGCCATATTATACCTGTGTATAATTATATTGAGGAGATATTATGCTTTTTGGCGACTTCATCAACAACACCAGTCGTCCAATGTCATCAGCTTCTGTCTGAAATTTAAAAAACATCATTTTTTAAAATTTTTTATTTTAGTACCTGATAAAATTGTCTTATTTTTAAAATTTTTACAGCAATGAACACACGCCGTATTTTACAACAAAAAATTAAATCTACCCAGCTTTACCCTATTCACCCTACCTTACCCTAGACGAGCAACAGTACAAGCCGGACCCGATTTTCAGGTTTTCTCATTTTTCTTGTGCGGCCCGGCCCATTTCTCATGTCTACCCTGCCCTTACCTACCGTATATTGGTGCTACAAGCAAAAAGTTGTAAAAATTTTGTGAAAAAAATATGGATAAGGGTGACACATACCAAAAATAAGTCTCTACCTTTATATTACTGTAAAAGAAGTCAAAGATGTAAACCTATCAGCTAAATCAGCCTTACCTGGTTGACATTAGGAAGAGTTTGGAAACAAAGTCCTCTCCTCATTACCGACCGTTTTCGAAACATATCGGTACAACAATTCTTGGCCTTACCACCCAGTTCACAGTAATAAAACAGCTCGTCACATGTGTAGCCGTGTTTGGTCTAAAAGCAGCAGTTATCTAATTTATAATGGCAGTTTTTTAAATTTTGAAATAATTTTTAAATTCAAATCAGAATTTTACAAAAAAGATAATTTGTCGTATTTTACCCCACCTGCATCAGGTCGAAGAACTCTTTTGGATTGTAGCCCTCGCTCCATTTATTAAAATTGACACTCAAGTCGTCCAAATAAGTTCGATTGTAATCATTTATGGCATCGATATTCTCCAAGCCCGATCCGGCTAGCCAAAAACGAACCACGTCCAACGCTGTTTGATTCGAAATGTCAGGTATTAAGGTCCGCATATCACTAAAAATACCGTCGAAATCTAAGGCGTCTGGGACTTTCGGACAGACGGTTATGGCTGGCAGTTGGAGGGATGATACCTAAAACAAATAATTTGCAAAAGTTGAAATAAATTAGTGTTTAATTGACTAAAAAAAATATTTTTTTAAAAGTAAAACAAAAAAATATCACCACCATTGTAGAAATGAATGAAAAAGTAACTTTTAGGTAATACTTGAGCTTTTCAAAAACGCTTGATCACCTAAAACTATATCAAAGAACTCCTATCAACATCTCAAAAACTACCAAACCAATTTTTTTAATTTAGGTATCAAATTATTCTAATTTTATGCTTATTATATCCAAAACAAAATTAGAACTTTTATAGAACAACCAAATTAATCTTTTCAAAAAGCTTAACCTTGTGTTAGAAACGTCAACTACCAAAAAAAAATAAATTTTTTAGTCTTACCAATCTGATTGTAGTAGAAGTAGCTGTAGGCCCATCTAAATACTCCAATACGACCAACACTGTCGTCGCCGTCCCACAACTTGTACATACGAACAGAACCAACCACCAGAAAGCTCGGAGTTTCTTCGATTTGCTCAACAGGGCCTGAATTTTTATTTTTTTAGTTAAACTATACCTTCTGTATAAAAAACTCCTTTTTAACAAAAATTATGTATAACAAACAACATTTAGATCCATGGGCAACACTAAACAGTGGATTTAAAACTCCTGTATAACAAAACGCTTTCCTAACGAAAAATTTTGAAATCCAGTCACAGTGGAACTCGTGTATAACGAACTTCTCTATAACGAAATTTCTCTGTATAGCGGACAACTTTTAAATCTCCGCTAACCACTAAATAGTGCATTTCTAACTCCTATTCATTGAGGAGTTCCACTGTAAATGCTTTTTCTATGCAAGTTTATTTTAGACTGGGGTCGGGCCTAGAGCGGGTCAAGCCCAGAAAGCCTTTTCAGGTGTAGTGGAAAAAGAAACTCAAAGAAAAATATTTTTTTAATTTTTTAGCTTACAAAAATTAATCTATTTTTTTTATTTTTAATTACGGGTACCTAGATAAAGGTCTATTAACTAACCTGACTCATTCCGTGAATCTCCCCCGTCCAGGGTGGGTATTGTCGAGTTTGGCACTCGCATTCCGACAGCTCCGAATCGTCGTCTTTCTCATTCGTGATGGCAGTGCTTTGTCGCCGCATTGTGCGAGTTTGTGCGATTACATTGTTACGAAAGTCTTCTGGCCTGTCGCCTTCGGGTGGCGGTGGCATTCAGCTACAAACTTTTTTTTTTTAATTTTTTTACCTTTAGGCGGTTTAAACCGATGGTAATACAACAAAAAATATTTTTAATATTGTAACAGTGGTACAATATAACAAATTTTATGTACAGTGGAACTTCTGTATAACGAACTCCTCTATAACGAAACTCCCGTATAACGAACAAGTTTTAAATCCCCGTCTACTAATACACAGTGCATTTAAAACTCCTGTATAACGAAACTCCTTTATAACGAACAAATTTCGGTCCTCATGAAGAATAACTCCCCAGCAGGTGAATAATAATTCCCCATGGAAATGAGCTACAATCATTCCCCACTTATTCAAATTTTAACATTTTTTTTCAATTTCTCATTCTTTCATTTTGTTTGCTGAATTATGTTCGGACCACGAACTTACGAAGAAATCACTGATGAAATTGCCAAAAGTAAAAAAAACAATCGTTGTGGGTATTACTATCATGCTCCACTCGAATTGCTATCATGTCCCACCTGTATTACTATCATGCCCCACCTGTATTACTATCATGCCCCACCTGTATTACTATCATGCCCCACCTGTATTACTATCATCTAAACTCCTGTATAACTTTTTCAAGTCCCCGAGCGATTCGTTATTGAGGAGTTCCACTGTATATCATTACAGAATATGTTATATTAGGTTGTTCATATAATACTGCGCGTTCTCTCAAAGCAAATTTTTGAGGTTGGAGGGCTCATAATTATTTGAACAACCTAATACATAAAAGCCAAGTACAGTAACTATAAATAAAAGCCAGCACAGTAAAAGCCCATACTTTCTAAAAAAATCAAAACCGCCCCCCAATTCAACCTAATAAATGACGTACCCCACCCAAAATTTGATTATTAAATTTTTTTTTAGCCGGAAACACAAAATAAAGTGTCAAAGTCAGAAAACGCCTTGAGGCAACGGGTTTGGCCACCGAAATATGTAACGTTGAACAAACAGAAAGCCCTCAGGTGCTGGGGTTTCATCAGTCGAGGTAAGGGATACTCTCCAAATTTATTCACACAAAAAAATATTACACACCGACGACGCATAAACACGGCGCATAAATTTTTAAAATTTTACTCTTGATTTTGTGGTATTGCAGGGTGTTGACATACTACAATATAATGTAGTGTATTCAGAGACGTCGCTACGGATTTTCTCTGGAGGGGGGGGGAGGTCGAAAAAAATTTTTTCGTCCACAGGTCCCTCCCTACCTGTGGACCAATTTTTCAAAATTTTTATTTTTCGTTTTTGCACGTACAGGTCTCCTGTGGAATTTTTTTTCGGATTGGCTCTGGGGGAGGGGGTACCCCCCCCCTACCCCCTCCCCCAAACGACGTCCCTGAGTGTATTGATTAAATTTTTGATTTTAATAAGTTGATCAATTTCAAAAACTACTCGTTTACATTTTTTTCAAAATTTTTTTAAATTTACCTAAAATTAGCGAAACTGCAAGAAAATTTCAAAAATATAGGTATAGCTTATCATTTTTTTACTTTTAAACATTTTTTTATATATTAGTAAAAAATCTTTAAATGAACATACATTTTTAAATTTGTAAGCGTACCTTGTTTAGAAAGTGAAAAAAGTGCTTGAAACAAAATGCCAAATTTGCCAGATTGTCGGGAAGCTCAAATATTTAAACTTTAAAACTCATAACAAAGAGTAAGCTAAAACTTTTTATGAGTACTATTAATGGTACAAGGAATTCATATAAAAATGTTGAGGTTCTGAGGTTAGGTACTTTCCTTGTGAATTTAACTGACAAAGTGAGCAATATGCAAAAAAAATTTAAGAATATAGGTATACCTTTCACTTTTTTAAAACAAAACAAGTTCTTTTTATAAGTTTAGTAATTTTCAAATATTTTTAATCCAATTTTTATAACATTTTACATCTTTTTCATCAAATTCGAGTTAATATAATACGATATTTATTTGTTTTTTTTTCAAAAATTAGATATTTTTAATAGCCGGTTAAAAAATAAGGATAAAAATACAGCCTGAATCAGAGAAATGGGATCAAATCAACCGCTTTTTTAGCTTACAACGACATATAAAGGTCAGTAAAGACTATTTACTTTGGCTTAAAATTTTTTATCTGATCAGTATTACCTAAAAAACTAAAGTTTTGGGTTTAGAAAGCTAAGTGCTTACCTTAAAATTAAGGTTATAGCCCTACAAAACCAAGAGACTTCTAGGTAATACTTCGCAGATATAAATGATAAGCCTAAAGTTAGTCTTTGCAGTCCAAAACTGCCAAGAGTAATCCAAAAACAAGTTGATTTAGGTTTAGAATAATAAGGGGAAGTGTTTGTTTTGTGATTTGAGCAAAGTGACTCGATGGAAAAGAGAGGAAACCCTGAAGTTTGCTCTCGATTCCACCAACAAATTGATAGTATAGAGAAGGCTGATATTATAAGAAAATCGTATTTTAGAACCAACGCGTTTTAGACAGAGATGTTCTTCTTAGTTCGGAGCTATTACGAGAGAGAGAAACTTAGATAACGGTAGAGATATGGAATTATAAAAATTTAACAAAATCTGCCGAGTTACTGTACGGAAAGGATGTGTTGAATAGGGTAGGGGCATAATTAGAATAGTGTGGGAATATACGTAGAACAGTGTAGAGTATAATATACTTTGTACCTTACAATAGTCAGTCATGCTGAAGCATATAGTCAAGTGTAAGGTAAATATACTATGATATACGTTTTCCTTTTGATATGTCATCATTTTTCCATTATTTCAAAATTTTGAAACTTGATACTTCCTAGTACTCTCTCTCAGTACGAAAACAAAATTTTTCGGTTATTCTTTTTGAAAATGGTACAGACTAGTACCATTTAAAAAAAAGAGTACCTGTTTTTAAAAATAGTACCAGTTGGTACCAAACACACTTTTTTTAGTACGGTCCCTTTTTCTAATTTAAGGCCTTTTTCTACCGTAAACCCCCTGCCGTACCATAAACACCCTTTTTAGTACCATACACCCCTCTTCTTTACCCCCTTTCGTACAGTAACCTCAATATTCAACTATAAATCTAGGACAAATGATAGTACACGGTTATAAACAATAATGATTATATGAAGCTGTGTGTTACCCGTAAAACCGCGGGTGCAAAAACAAGACATGTTCGTATCTCCCATCTGTTAATGTTTATAAAACTACTATATCTTGGACTTAAAAAGGTTATGTTTTAAGCTTTTTAAGTAAAAGATACAAAATGTTACTGAAATGATACGAAATGTCACATCTAATGAAAGGATACGAACATGCACAATCCTACAAGTCACTACGGGCTGAAAAGATAACAAACAAAAAGGTGATAAAGAAATTGTAACGCTAAAAACAAAGCAGTTTAACAATAAAAAACGAAATAACAACGCCGCATTCTTGCCAGAGGAAAAGAGTTTTGGTATACAGGAAAGTAAGATATGGGCAACGATCGGGCTTTGACTGTTCTTTAGGTATAGGTTTTAGTACTACAGGGATTTTTACTGAATTTCGAAGCCACTTATTTGAATTTTAAAGTAATTTAACAAGATTTACTTCAGAAATGAAGCCTCTACCTTTACTTATTAGGTGAACAAGTAAAGGTAGATCCTTCACACTCAACTTAAGGTCGAAACGTGAAAGTAAAGACATCAACCCCTACTATTCCCTTTTCAATTCAAATTACAAGTCATAAACAAAAATCAACCCCCAAACCTTTAAAAATAACTGTAAAAAGCCATAGCCAAAAAAACCCTAAAACCCATGGCCAAGCCAGCCAGATCGCATGTGGTCATGAAAATAATTTTGGGCCTTGGAATGCAGCAATACAAAGATCTCGGTTCAAAAAACAATTCAACAACTGGCCGAGGGATCTTCACGAACTGAACATTGTCGTCTAGTTCTGGATAGCCGACACGCCTTCACGGTCTTTCTTGAAGTTGTGCATGAACTGAAAGGTTTATCTTTAAATTTTTTAGCTTTATTTTGAGTTTAAAGGCCATTTATCTTATGATTAGGGCTTATTCTTTCATCTATTTTTGAAAATTTTTAAATTTTTAGGCTTTACAAAGCCTTCTCTATTGTTTTTACTATGATCGTAGGCATTTTACTACGCTAAAAACTTACAATCTTGTACTCTCCGGTCTTCTCAAACTTTTTGATTTCCTTTTGTAATTCAGTGTTCACGTCCAATTGCTTGGCGAACTTGTAACGCTTTTGGAATTGAATGAACTTCTCCAGTCCAAAGTTCTTGTGACGCTTCTTCACATCGTCCAACAGATCGTTTTGGAAGCTAACGTATAGTGGAGGACGGAACTTTTCTTCCAAACCGTAGCAGTAGAATCGGAAGAGGGATTCGATACCGTAACGGAAGCTGAAAATTGGCAAAATTAGAATTATTATAAGGGATGCTAGAGATGTCATAGCGTAGTTGACATTACTACTCTACCCTACCCTACCTTACCTTACCCTACCCTACCCTACCCTACCCTACCCTACCCTACCCTACCCTACCCTACTCTACCCTACTCTACCCTACCCTACCCTACCCTATCCTACCCTACCCTACCCTACCCTACCCTACCCTACCCTACCCTACCCTACCCTACTCTACCCTACCATACTCTACCCTACCATACTCTAGCCTTACTTTACCTTTCTCTATCTTCTTCTTTCTCCCCCTCAACCCAAGTCTCACCATAGCCAAACACTATTTTATTATATCCCTACAGTACCCATACCCTACTCTAATGTTTTAACTCCAACTTACCCAGCATCAGCGTCCTCCAAGGCCAGCCTCCTGAACTCAGTATACATGTTTCGGTTGAAGTTTGACCTCAAGAACATTGACCAGAACCGGTATAATGTATTCATTTCTGGAACATCGTAACCACAGGCTTTTCGCTGTTCCATACATCTGGCTTTCCATTCCGAATAGACCTGCTCTTCGAAGCCGCTCTCCTGGAAGAGGCCGACCGATGGATGGACGGAGTTTGGTTGGGATACACTCACTGACTGTTCGTCACTGAAAGGATAAGGTTTAGTACGGCAACGCAAAATATCTGTTTGTCTCTAGAATACGTAGAAAAGCCACGATGTCTCTATAATTATAAAATTGTAACTGAAATCTACCTAAACATAGCCACAGACTATCTAAACATGGCCTAAAATACAAAAAAAAACTTTTTAGGTAACATTTGAACATCCTTACGCAGTAATAACCGAGTTGTTCCTTGACCGAGCTCCTAACACCCATCCAACATTCAAAACAGGTGTAGGATCAACAGAAACCTGATGCTTCAACTCCTTGTTATCCTTCTTCACTTCCTTGTTTTCTTTGTTGTGAACTGGATAATACCGTGAGACTTTGGATTCTTGTTGTTCACGTTTGGCAATTGGGCTGCGGGGCTGAAACATAGAGTTATATTTTAATTTTTTAGCAGTTTAAACAGTTTTAAGATATTAAAATTGCTCTAAAAATTATAAACGTCGCGGCGCGTCGTTTTTGAAATTTTTTTTTATTTTGATAAATATAACTTACCATAGCGGCCGATGCGGCAGCTCTCTCCAACGCTTTTTTGGCCCAAACTGAACCGGCATTCTTCGAGTCCTTGTTTTCATTACTGTTTGATGAGGTTTCGCTTGAAGTTTCGCTTGACTGTTTATCGTCTTCGCGCTTGGCCTAAAATTTAAAAAAAATTTCTTTTCAAAAGCTTGCTTAAAAAAACCGTTTTTAACATAAAAACCCTAAATATTAGTTCAATACAAAAAAACTTACATCCTCACGACCTTCCTTTTGCCACAGAGCTTCCTCGTACTTTCTCAAGTTGTGCTCGATTTCCTCGCTCATCAACCTCTTATCTTTACTCTTTGTCGCAGGAGATTGAGTGAGAATAATCAGCTTCTTAATGTGTTGATCTGGCATCTCTTCTACCGTGTTATCCTCGTTGTCGGCTGGAGCGGTCGATTTTTTACGTTCCGACCGTTCCACATCCTTCTCAACATTGCGGCGTCTTCGGCCGCTTCCTTCTGATTTCGACGGCTTCTTCTTCTTCTTTGGTGCTACTTCTTGCCAATCGCTTTCTCCTTCCTTAACTTCCTCATCTTGTTCCACCTTTTCGGGCTTTGGACTTTGAGTTCGTTGAGATTTGGAGCCACGAGGCGTTCGTGGGTTTTCATTTCGGTTTTGTTTAGATTTGACTGGGGTTTGTGGTTGTGATTTGGACTGACTTGACACACTCTGGGTCTTTTCCTTTTGTGCTTGTTGAGCTACTGTTGAATACGATACCCGTGGAGTAGAGGAGGCCGAGGCTTCTGATGGTGGCGTGACATCTGTGCTTTTTTCATTTTGTTCTTCAAAAACCTCCTAAAAAAGCACTTTTATTATGTAAAAATAAAATTTTAAAAAAATTAAAACTATGATGTTTTGATTTGCACTTTAATATTATATTAGTCATCAAACTTATTAAACTATCTTACATCGTCTTCGCTGCTTTTTGGTTCATCCGCCACAGCTTTCGTGTCTTCCTCTACCTTCTTCGTCGTCTCTTCGTTCGAGGCACTCTCTTCTTTCGAACTGGTCCCTTCTTTTGACGTGGTCTCTTCCTTTCTGTGATCGACTTCTTCATCCAACGATTTTTGGCTTGAAAACTCCATTGGCCATTCCTCGGGATTGAATCTGGTCCTTACTCGTAGATTCTGACTATCCAACTCAACTTTGTCACTGTCCATTAAGGCGTTGGCAATCACGCTCAGATCCCGTGTTAAATTTGAAACCCGTGGAAAACTCGAGATCAGCGTCAGTGGCAGATAACCGTTTTTGTCCATACGACGACGTAAAAAGAAATCTTTTTGTAGGTTGTCGACTGAGAAGTAGTACTCACTAAAAATATAAATTATGATATACTCAAAAAATGGCACTAGCAATAAAAAATTTTGATTTTTTTATTTAGTAAAACCTTTATTCTTCTTTAAAAAACTTACATTTGTTTACATAAAACTGCCTTAATGTCTTCATTTCTGAATTCAGTTAATAGCGGAACTGGTGCTACTCCAGAGAACGCTGGGTAAAAAGGCTGTAACATTGGTGGTACTCCTGGTGGTCTAGCAACTGGTGGTACACCGTTAGGCGACAGTAACGCGTTAGGAGTCGGTACTGTCGATGTTATCGATGAAGCCGCAGATTCTGGTCGAGAATCTGTTGATGTCGTCGCTTGTGGTTTTCCATGTGCTTTTAGACGCTTATCCAACGCAGCTTGTGCTGCGGCTTGAAGCCCTGGATGTGGCATCGTAGTGGCGTTAAGCGCTTGTGGAGGAGGTCCAGCATTAACAACTGGAGCACGGAAAAGTGCACCATTTTGAGGCACAAATGGAACCATATATGGCATTTGATTAGCTTTCATAGCCATTGTAGGGTCGAATGGAGGCAATGTTATCATCGCACATAGATGTGAATACTGTGACTCCATCAACTCCATGTAATCAAAGCCACCGTCCTGAGCAGCCTCTGTGACTTCATCCCAGTCAGGTAGAGGGCCTCTCTGAGCTGCCAAAGGAGGTTGTGTGCCATTTTGTGCTGCTGGCTGTGGATTTCTAGCTTGCCATCTATCGTTTCGTTGATAAAATGCTTTCTGCTTGTCATTTGGTGCACTTTCTTGACGTTTTACTTGTGGTGGAGCTTGTGGTGATGGATTCGTATTTTTATTCCATTGCTCATTCTGTGGTTTGTTGTTGAAATTCCTCCTTTGACCACCATTTTGTCTGTCTAAAATGCCATTATGCATTAATTGTTTCATCTGAGAAGTAATAACTTCCTAAACTCAATATGATAAATAAAAATTTACATACTTTCATGTTTGTTATCTGTTTTTCCTCTGTTACTTTGTCTGAAATGTCCAACACCAACGTTTGTAGTGCGAGGAGGGCCATTTCTCAAACCAGCATTTGCATTAACTACCTAAAAATATAAATCCAGTAAAGTTATCAGAGCATAAATTTTATGTTTTGTTATAAGTTTATATCTTACCTCTACAACCATATTTTCTAACAACAAACCGGGATCCTATACAAAATTCAACAACAAATAAACCTAGAAAACAAGAAAACGCAAAAAAACGAAGAGTTTTTGGGCTGCCACTGTAGAGACGAAACGCCACTATCAATTCTTTCGCAGGCCTATTTTCTATTGATTTCGGGGAAACGAACTGGCTGGGTCTTAATTTTTTGTCGCCAAAAAAAACGAGAACACGTAAACAGCGCCCAAAATTTTTGATGCTAATCTTTTTTGTGTTAATTATTCAAAAAACTAAACAAAAACTAGTGGCACGTCTGTGACCTTAATGTTAGGTGATAGTAATAAAATAAACTAAAAAAAAATAAAAATATTTTAAACTTATAAACATTTTTAAAATCAAAAATCTTACGCCATTAGTTGGTGGGTACGACATTTCGTTCTCGTCTTCTTGAGCGTCCTCTATCTCATTTATCTCTTCCTGTTCCTTTTCTTCTGTTTCTTCGCCAGAATCCAACGGAAGTGAATCGTCAAGTTCGGTGTACGGAGTGACAAATTCGTCGGGTACGAATGTCACCACGGACTCTACTGGATACGTTTCAGCGGTGGGGGCGTCTAACACACCGTTAGACCGTTTCCAGCCTTGGGTGCCAGAATGTTGGTAGTAAAAACCGTTCGACGTGTTATCAAAATACCTGCAAATGGACTTTTTGAGCGTAAACTTGGAGAACAAAAATTGTTTTGAAATTTTTCACTTTACGGTAAACAATATTTTATTTTAACCATCGTTTTCTTCGTATTAATATTAACGACATGTTTTGGGCCCCAGGTATTAATATTAAAGGCATATTACCCCGTAAACCCCTTTATATCCGTTTTCTGTGGTCGTAATACACGTCAGTATCTTAACGGTAGTACGAAAAGAACGTTGGAGAACGCTCAATTTTCATTCAAATAAGGAGAAGAACGTTGTGCTAAAAAAGATGCTGGGAGAGACACGGTATAAAAAGGAGGCCCACAGCATTTTATAAAAAAAAGGAAAAACAGGGGACGAGAAGAGGTGGTGGTTCCCTCGGCCCATTCCCTTCCACAAAAATGCCGTAAAGCCGAGAAACAAGTAGCTGAAGATAGGGAAAACAGGAGGGTGGCCAAGAATGAGAGAGGACAATGACGTAGTGCCCAAAATATTCAAAAGAAAAAGCTGAAAAACGCTTTTGATTTTATGAACAAATCGGAATTGTAGTAGGCGACGAGAAGGGAAGCAGCGTCTAAATATTTGCGTGCAAAATGGAGAAAAAAGTAATTAGCATACAAAGGAACGATAAAATATAATAGTTTGTTTTGGGGGTGCTGCCTGAGGACCTTTGAGCATGGTTGTTTATATGTGGCCGAAAATACGTCACATTTTTACGAAATTTGGAAAGTAAATATGGAATAAGATATAACTTTAAGGCAACATAAAGAAAATTTTATTGTTTTAGTGTACAGTAAAACTTCTGCAAAAATTTTTATAACTAAAAAATTTAAATTATTTAAAATTTAAGGTACATTTGGGCAAAAAACTTTCATTATCAAAACTGCAAGTAATGTTAAGCTTTGAAAACTTTATGAAGTCATAAAAGTGGCCTATCCGCAACAGGAACCAACGTTTTTTCGACAGTACTTTGCACTGACTAATCGCTGTCACGTTGTAACCCTGCGTAATCAAACATTTTATCGCTTTTTGATTGAGAACATGTTTACAAAACAATAAAATAATTTTTTCCGTATATTAAGGCAACATGCATTTTGTTTATATTATCAGTGTTCTTAGTGAACTTTCATAATGACCTGTGCCTTTACTTGAGTAAATAATACTATTTATTCAAATAAAGGGTAACTATTAAGCCTTGTACTTTTACTCAAGTAAATGGTACTTTACTTTGAGTACGAAACAGTTAAAGTTAATACTATACAAGACAATACCATAAAGTAACGTTGCCATACAAGACAGTAAATAGAAAAAGTTGACTTGTTAACCTACCTATAATCACAATAGTAATACCTGTCTCGATTAGGTTTTGGAGATTTTTTCATAACTTTGTAAAGTAACAAATAAGGTTATAAACACTATTTTACAAAATAACGAAAGACAGAAACGTTAGTGGCCAAATTAATCGCAAATTTGAATTTAAATCCCAAGCTCCGGTGCTATTCCGTGATAGTCAAAACAAAAAAGGGACTACGTTCGTGATGTAGCAAAAAGTTTATGGAAGATTTTTGTTTGATGACATCTACGGGATATTTGTTGGTTATAAAGTGGGATTTTGTTAGGTTGTTCAACTAATACTGTGCTCTTTAACCTCAAAAATTTGCTTTGAAAGGGGCAGGGAATTAGTTGAACAACCTAATTAATCATTTTTAATCTTATAGGTTGTACCAAAAGTATCGGGACACTTTTATTTGAGAAATACATGAAAATTGTCCCGCTACTTTTGGTTCAACCAGTAATTTTTAAAATTTTTCATTTTCTGATCTCTACCTTCAAAAATTTTATAAACCCTACCAGTAATCCTGCTCCTCCGTATCATCCTCATCGGTTATCGTCGTTCCCAAGTTTTTCGGTTCCTTAACAGCCGCATTATCTTTTTTGGAGCGGCGCACGGTGCGCGGCCGCCCAAACTTGTCGTAGCGTGATCGTTTGGCCGGCCCGGACGGGGACACGGCCTCGCGATTCTTGTAGTGAATGTCGATATCCAGCTTTTTCCAACTGTGCTTGGCGTTTTGTTTGGCACGCGGATCGGCGTCGTCCGCTTCTGGCTCTGCTCCGATCCCGTTCAATTTAGCCTTGAAATTTTGAAATTTTAATGAAATCTTGTTTTGAACTATCTATGAGAGTTAAAACTGCTAAAAAACAATTTGAAATTATGAAATTTTGTGGAATTTTAAGGAGTTTAGGTATAAAATCTAATTTACATTAAAATACAAAGTATTATATTACCATACTGCCTTATATAGTACTATAAAGTAAGAAAGAATGGCGTAAAGGTCAAGGCTAATCAAAAAATCTTCAGTTATATATAAAACGCTGAAAACAAGTAATAAGCAAAAGAAAAAGAGTCACATTTATCACATGGTCCCTTACTGATGGGGGACCTCATAAAGAAGCCCCCCTCAGGGCGTACAAACAAAACAAGGTTTGCGCACTCTTTAAGCGTTTCCGAATACAATAAATGCAACATTATTGTAGGGACCAGAACTTGTTTTTAAAAATAGCATTTTCAATTTTTGGTTAGTTTAAAAATATTTTTTGGCGGGTGAAAAAATATTTTAGTCTATAATAGTTTTAAACCATTTAAAAGTGCAAAGAAAAGTGATTAAAAATGAAAAAATTAGTAAAAATCGCACAGACATTGCCCTTCCTCGTAGAACTTATTAAAATTGTCGCTAACGTCCTCACAAACCGCAGCTGTTCGAATGTCATCGAATCCTGCCAACTCTTATTCCCCCCCCCCCTCCTTCTTTTTCTCATTTGTACTCACCTGCTTGTGGACCAAGCATACTCCATTCAAAACTGGCTCATATTGAACTGCTTCGGTGAGGCTGGGCCACTTCTCCGTCTCGTTCAACGATTTACCGTTAATGGGCTGGAAAGGTGGTTTTGGGCATGATTTTTAGAGTTTTTTTGTATTTTAGGTAACATTTTTTAATTTAAAATTTAAAAAATCTTGCTTTTTTAAGCATTTAGAGCTATAAAAACAAAAAAAAATATTTTTAAGCGACATTTAGGGAAATACTCACCTTTCTGTGGTGATTACCTTGCGGTATTACTTCCATTTCATTTAGACCTAAAAATTACAAAAAAAAGTTTTTTTTTAAATTTAACCAGTGAAATGATATCTCGACCTCAAAATGCTGACTTTCATGTATAATCCGATTTTATTATAGGTAGTAATGTTATACAGTAGACTCTCGTTACGAGCAACATCCTTCATTAAACAAAAAATGTAAAATACGGCGAACTTTAACATTAACTCTTTACAAAATAAAATACTAAAATTTTGTTTTTAAAAAATCATAAAACGCCTCAAGTTCATAAAAAACCAAAGTTAATTAATCCCAAAAAATTATCGAAAATGAAAGAAAAAGGAAGACTTGACCGCTCTCCACCCTACTTTAATATCAATTTTCGTTCACTTCTTGACGTGAGGCCAAAAATTGCAAAAAACAAAGGAATCGCTTATGTTTGTCACTAAACAATTATGCATTTTGGATACTACATACGATTCGTTAGGTAGTTTGTGATTTATGTGGTAGGGGGTGGTATTGAGCCTAAAGTAGAGATGTTAAAATACTGTAGAATGTGTTCATATAAAACTAGGGTATGGTCAATCGGTGACTTCATTTCTACAGCCCTATTTTTATAACAATAAGCGCCTATAAAGCAAGCAAAGACCCCATATAGTCAACAAAACGTTTTTTGCCTATAATCATAAAGAGATTCTACTATAAAAACTGTAAGAAAACAGCTTCAACTAAAAACTAATAGAATATAAGGTATAAATTAAGACTCTATTCGTCATAGTATTTTCATAATTACTATAGTAAACTAAAATTTTATTTTAAAAACCCTTACGTCAAAGAATTCGAAACACAAACAAAGTACAAAAAGTTACAAATAAAGTTGACAAATCAAGTTAAAGATCACTCAACATGCGACCATAAACTACTGGAAAGAAAGTTTTTGCAAAAAAAATTTAAAACGTTTTTAAAACTTGCCAAAAAATTGCCATAAACTTTAAAAATAAAAAAAAATTTTAAACTTAAAAAATCATTATTAAAATTTAAAAAACTTTAATTTCGAAAAAAAATTAATTTAAATTTTAAAAAATGGTCAAAATTATTAAAAAAAATTGAAATACATCAACAGTAATTAATAATCTCAACGTAAACTACAATAAAACGAAAAATTAGCGGAATATCAAGGTTCATAAAAGTCTCATCAAGGGACCGTTGCTTTCCGAACACAAAAAGACGAACTTTGGGGGCGGTTGAAGGAGAAACCTTTCAAGAAAAAAGAGTATAACATCTTAAGTTGATAAGCCTAACCCGATTCCTGTTTTGTATACGTTGTGTTCTTGATAATATTGCTTCAGTTTTTTTTAAATTTTAAGTTTTAAGTTATTCAGTAGGATTTGAGTCGATGGAAGGAAGAGAAAAGGTTTAAAAAGGTAAAATAGACCAGTGGGGTAAGAGGACTAAAGATAGAATATGTCCTGTAGAGTAGGGGACCGAAAGAGAAATATACCCTATAGAGCAGGTGACTAAAGTAGGAATATGCCCTGTATAGGTGAACGAAAAGGGCAGTATTCCCTATAGAGCAAGTGACTAAAGAGAGGAGTATAAAGGTTGAAGATTTAGTAAAAAATTAGGACTCCCGTTTCAAAAAAAAATCAAAATTGAATAAAGTACATTTTTTCTTTGGTTATTTATTCCTCTAGGCAAAATTATTTACCCCGCCAACTTCTAGACTAAAATCATCCGCCTATCAATGATTTAGAATATAGATCAATGTACTATAGTTAACTACAGTGAACCTCTTTTAGTATGAAATTCAATAGTATGAAAACCTCTTTATTGTGACACTTTCTTTACCGCCCTTTGTAATAGAACTTCTGTTAAAAAAGATACCTGGATAGTACAACACCCTGGTTAGAAGGGCAGGTTTGAATCAGTTCTTTGAGTGTCATACTAAAAAGACTTGACTGTGTGTCAAAATTCTTCTCCTTTGCCGTATGTTTATTTAAATAAAAACTGTTTTTTCACTAATTTTTCAGACTTTGACTATCAACTTTTTCTTTTTTTTGCACGTTTTTACAATTTTTTTAATTTACTCTTAGACTCACTTTACTATATATTTATTTTTACGTTTATCTCTTATAGCAAATCGAATGTTTTGTTAAAATCTCAGCTTAAAAATGTAAATAAACCTCTTGTCCACCTATAAATATTAGCCGATCGCATTAAAATTTTGGAAAGCGATCGTTCGTTTTCTTTTTGATGTTCCGATTGTCACGTTAGTTTCCAGACAAAATGAAAGGAAAAATATTTGAAAACGACTACCTTCTGAACAGAATAAAGGATATGATTAATTTTGAAGAAATTTTAAAGAAACCGATGACATCATTGATCAAAATACTATAAATTATGATTGACCTAACCTTTTTTTTTAAATTACTACAAGTTTTACGTAAAGTTGTGTAGACTTTAAAAATTAAAATACTTTTTGAAAAAGTACAAAATTCTAAAATCCTTATAATGCACTTTAAAAAACTTTAAAAGTCAAGCAAAATATTTAATAAAGTACGATACGATTACCTTTTTCATAAAATACGTCGTTGCAAGAATGTTTTTGGAGTTAACCGTTATATGTAAACGTGGTTTGTGTTTTTTAACACTAAATGCAACACCAATCTTGATTTGCTGCGCTACTTTACAAAGTTTGGTCCGGCTTATGAATGAAAGACAAATGGTTTAACAGAGTTACTATGGAAAATTAGCTATGATCTGGTTTTTTAAGATTTTTTAAACTTTGTTTAGTTCCCTATTTTTAGATTGTTATAGCGTTTTTAGACTGAAATTACACATCAGGATTTAGTTTTATCTTTTACTCGCCTAAAATTGACCAGACACTATTTATGCGTTTACATCTGATTAGCTTTTAAACTCTTTTTTAGACAGTTAAACCTATAGATCAAATTTTTTAAAGCCTAGGTCAAAGTTCATTTTAACCTAAACCTAGTCTTAAATCATCTAAAATAAAACCTATTCTTTTCAAAGAACTATCACACCTACTCTCTCAAAATGCCATGAATGTCATCATGAAACAACCTTGTCCAATACCATGATCAACAGCCCAAAACCGAGCCTAAAAATCAGTCTGCCCCCACCCACCCCAACCGAGTAATCAATCGAGTAATGATGCAAAAAATCATTGGGAATATGAACTGATTTTAAACTTAAACCTCTCGAAAAGAGCACCTTGACTTGAATTTTTGCAGTTCTCCCCCTCTCGTCCCCACCTTTTTGGCCCCCGTAGAGGATTGTGGCCAAGCGATCGGGAATCTCGCCTACTTTCTTCTCTGTCTCGCTGCTTCGCTTCTCGCGTTTTTTTTCTTCGTTTTTAAAAGTCGAAGAACCACCTCAAGTGATAACAAGCCTTGTAATTCACCACGGTTACAATTTAAGGGCGAAAAAGCAAACAGTTCAAGTACAGGCTACCTTAACGTGTTTGAGTTTAGGACGTAGAGGGGAGTGACCGTAATGAAAAAAAAAGTTGACTTGTAGAGGCAATCAATTTTTCTACTTTATAGCCATTTTAGAGAATATACATAAAGTATGAGACGTGGGTTTTTCTTGACTGGTCACTTAGTTTTAGACTATAAAAGACAATGACACAACCTTACTAGTCAAAAAAAGTGAAAATTTATGTAAAAAAATATACCTTTTTTGTCATAACCTTTTCCAAAAACCAGCTAAAACCTGGTAATTTTAAATAGCGTTACACTATGTCACAGACTATCATAGCACCAAAACTTGTCCCTATATTCATTGCCGTTTCCAAGTTACAGTAATTTCTGATAAAAAAGAAGTTTTTTAATGAACCGTGCAATCACAGAAATATGCAGCGTAGCGCACAAACGTTCATAAAAGTTTTAAATACAATGTTAAAAAAGATCATCATGTACTATGAATTTTACAACATAAATCTTTATTAAAATTATATCACAATCTTATTATAACAACTTGTATCACATAATTAGCCCACAATAAAAACTTTTGATAAATTGAAATACATAATACCCATTATAAACATTCTTATACCCACTACAATAATTGTTACAAACAATTTGTACCATTATTATAACTTTTCAAAACTGTACTATTCAGTATGGTATGGTTCACAAAGCTGTACTATTTAAAAACGTATTACAAAGACATACTGTTTAGTACAATACGCTTTACAAAACCGTACCATTTAGTCCGATATTCACAACATAATTACAGTACAGCGAAAATTCAAGCCTAAACCTCAAATCTTGTCCTTTCTTTTAGGTATCAGATAAGTCGAATCGTAATACTCCCCAATCTCTTCGTATATCTTGTCCTCCACATGTTCTGGTTGTTTTTTACATTGAATCACTTCACCATAATCACTACTCGAGCTTCCGTTGCTTGGTACCATTAGGACCGAGTCTTTGTTAAACTTGGCTTTCAATTCTTTAATCAAGCGTTTCGGAGTTGATGAGTAATTGTTTTCAATTTCCGATGAGTTAGTCAGTTTGTTGTTGGAGTTGTCCAAAGCAGAAGTACTACTGTTATTTAGGCCTGATGGACCTGGAGTTTCGTCGAGGGACATTGACATAAGGTCTGGAGGGGTAGGGACTGGATGGGTTGGTGGGGGAGGGGGTTTTTCTACCTAGAAAGAATAATTTTAAAGCAAATCAAACAAATTTTAATATATCTGATCCTAAACTTATAATAATATTTTTGTTGTTCAAATAATTAATTGCCTCCTCACACCAAAAATTTGCTATGAAGGAAGCAAATAAATATTGGAACAACCTAATATATGACATTTTATACCATATACCCGAAAATCATGTAGTCATGGTAGCCCTATTTCAAATTAAACCAAATTTAAAAAAAACAAGTCATATAAATGGTATTTTTTGGAGTTTCTTTTCACGTTTGTCTACTATAATATAAACTTCCAAGCTTTCAAACACAAAAATGTCTCTAAAACATCAATATATTTACCATTCCCTTTGGCAATGAATTAAAGTAGTTTTGAGGACTATTTTCATCGGCTTTTGGGAAGAGTTGATAGAAGTTTCCTTTCTGAAACAACAATATTCATTAGAAAAAATTAGTTTTACTCAAAAAATCGTAAAGACATAAAATTTACTGTAGTTAAGATCGTGAATTTTAGATTTTACTCAAAAGTTTAAAGTTTTCTATTACCAAAAAAAAATTTTTTTATCATAAAAGCCTAAAATAAATGTAATAACTTACTACTCCCATCATTTTCTCCAGTTCTTCAACTCGTTTCCGTAGCCTACGGTTCTCTTCCTCCAATAAATTTCTTTCTGAACATAACTCAGCTTTACTTTGATATATCTCTTCTTCTGGTTTTGTTTTGAGCTAAAATGACTTGGATTAAAAAACTAATCGAAATAAAAATCACTCTTTAAAATACGTTTACAAGGAAGTAACTATAATGTATATAAGAAAGATAACTCTTTGTAACAAAGATTATCCCAAAAATGTTAGTACTATTTAATAATATATGTTAATGATGACTTACGTAATAATAAATTTCAAAGGCTTCTTGAATAGTCGAAGTAATAGTTCGATATGAGTAAGTTGATAAGAACACATGAGCTTCAAATTTACCAGCAACTCGAGCAATATATACAAAGAATTCTCGTTCCAAGTCCTAAAAATCGCAATTTTATTACCTACTGTACATATCATACATTTATAAGCAATTCTATAAACTTAAGCCCAATATCAAAATACTATAACCTATAAAAAGACAAAAAAAACTCAAAATAAGGTAAAAATTTTCTAAAATAAGTCTTACAAACTTTTTAGGTCAAACTTTTTGGCTTATCCATACTTGGACAAACTGATAAAAATGGTCAAGTGTCCCTTACCGAGCTCTTTTTCCCACCACATTTGGCAACGTTAGCCAAGTCAGAGTGGTTTAAAACCATTCCGCTTTTGTCCTCAATGATGTTTATGCAATGTGCTGAGATTTCCAATCGTACCTTTTGTAGCTTTTTGTACGATACTTTACCATATAACTGAAAAAATTATCGTAAATTTTTTCACCTTAGAGTTTGTAACTGATTTACACTTTATACCATATACGATATAACAAACGCAAGGTGATTGAAAAATCGTTTGTTGTGATAGGATTTTGTTATATTTGGAGTACTATTAGCGAGTGCTCATTTTACCTAAAATTTTAAATCAAGAAAACGAAAATAACTTACATTATTAGCCCTTCGAACATATTCCACAGCTTCTTGGAATTCATCCTTAGTCGGTGACATATCAGCTGGTGCTGAGCCAAGATACCGTAGTAAGTATATCACTCTGGCTTTTATCATCACACCTAAAAATCAACAAATTTCAAAAACTTTAAATCGTAAAAGTTGTTAATCACAATTCGCAGCAACAAATTAAGCAATTTATTCAAAAGTATTACTACTTTTAGTAAAAGTACCAAGTTCACAATAAATTGGCCTAAAATGCCTCTGTGTGAAACAATTTTGTAGCAAAATGTTAAATCATAATCCCCATGTCCATCTAAATGTAAAACAAAAATAAATGTAAAACTTACGCGGGCTTTGAGGCCATCGATCCAGATGCAACGTCTCCATTTTAGTCAGATCCTTCGACTTTGATTCATTTTTCGGTTCAACAGACATCAAAACCAAGGGTTATGACTCAGAGCTTTCGATGCTAACAAACCCAAACAAAATCACACCAAAGCTGAAATCAAAAGTACAGTAAAAAGTTTCTTAATTACTGTGAAATATGAAACGAGTAACTTTACAAAAATAGATTATATGTTAATGTAAAATACGTTTCGATTTTCATCATAATTTGATGTTATACTAAAAAATACAATTACGTATATAATAAACTTCATTAAAGTAAATAGATTATCAGCTTGAAGACAATATGTTTTACATTACAATAAAAAGCGAAAGCGTGCCAATCACCTCAAAGATAAGATAATGATCATTTACGCCTTTTGCTGATCTAAACATAGCCTTTTCACTTTAAAAATCATCTTTAAACCCTTAAAACCAAACAAAATCACCCCACAAAGCCCTTAAAAAATACAAAATCACCCCTCCTAGCCACTTCTTAAAAATAATGATCCAATCCCAATTAATATTCAAATTATGACGCATTATATAACACCCCCGTCATGTTAATTTTATCGAGCGGAATTCGCCAAAAAATAGTTCGGAGCGGACGAATTTGGGTCAGGTGAATTGGAAAAGGCGCGCGAGATGAAAAAGATCAAATAAGAGATCGCTTTACAATATAATTTGATATGCGAACAAAAGCAAGAGCCATTAATCATTTGGCCCTTTGTGCTGCTGCAAAAATGACGTTGGGTTTGAAACAGCGGTTTTTTACTAGATTCTTGAGACAAAGTGGCTAATTTAAAGTATGTTCGAACTAAAAAAGTTTTTTTCAACTAGCCAAGCAAAGAAATTGAAGTGTTACTAACGTTTCTGGGCAGACAAAAGCTCAATTTAGATTTTTAAGCCTTATACAGCCAAAAAACATAGTCAAAACATTATACTGCCCAAATCAACCATTTCACTGTCCAAATCAAAGACCTAAACTTCAACAAATTTCGATTTTTTTTCAGACGGCCAAAGCTTTTTTAAAACAAAAGATTTGTTTATAAAATAGAGCGGTCTTGCAACCATTCACGACCAAACAATCAAATTTCTTGTTTATTACAAACAATTCAAACTGGACTAGAAATCGGTATTTATTCGAATGGAGATCTTACAATTCTAACTGGGAAAAGTATAACATAATTCACAGGTTCACAGTCATCGAACATTCGAATATAATGATAAAATAGCAGTTTTTTTACCAATAGATTGCTTTAGAAGTATATTGAGTACATCTAGTTTCAGAATTACATCTCATACTTTTAGAGCAATATACCGGTAAATTATAGTGTAGTAAAGCGTAATACGTCTGAATAAATAAGTTGTTAATAGGAAGAATTTATGAAATTTCAACTTCTTCATCATTCACCACCTTCAAACTCAACAATTCCACTTCTCCAGGGTTCTTCTTGTCCAGTCGTGCCAATTCGACCAGTTCTTTGTACTTTCCTGGATCTACTAGTCCAACCTAAAAGTTACAACATTCTATAGTAAGCGTCTGCAATAAACGTTTTAAAATATCATCTCACATAAAAAAATTTCAATTTTAGACACAAATTGTCACATAATCACGATTTACATCGAAATCATATTGATATTTCCTGTTATACCAAAAATTGTAAGAAAAAATGTAAAAACATACCATTTCCAAGTTGCCATCTTCCCAATCTTCCACTTCAACTTTGCCAAACATCTGCTTCAGTTTAGAATGAGCATTCTTAGCTTCTTTGTGCTTTATACATACCCGTACTCTCATTTGAGCACGATCAATGTTCATCGTTTGTTTTAGCTTGGTAATCGCTTCCAATGCCTAAAACAATTTTTTAATGTCTAAAGGATAAAAAAACTACTAGTTTTATACCATAACACTTTCTGTATTCCTTTTTCAAAATTTAAAATAAAGATTGATACAAAAACGACATTTACAGCACCTTATATGGTTATATATAGCTGATAGTCGTAACCTAACTTAAGATACCAAACTTATTAAAAGTTACCTGCTGTTTAGCTTGTCGATTCTGTTTGATAGCAAAGTGGCTTTCTTTCAAGCCTTTTTCAATAACCGGAATTGGAAATGGTCGTTTAGTTTCAGTGTTAATCGTCATCTGAGAGATCAAGGTGGCAATCTCCTTGTATGTACTCTCTGTAGTATGTTGTCGTTCCTTTTCTCCAATTTGTAAATCTCCTTTTTCCAAGATCTAAACATCAATGCTTATATATACGTATGTAAAATATGTGTTTAGAACAAGACTGACCTAAACACAAAAAAACAAGGAAAAGATAAACATACGATCTTGCACACAGCTAGTTGATCCGTGGTTTCGAAAGCTTTCTGAAGATCGTCCTTCTTTGCTACTTCACCTTTTTGAACATTAGTGAACACACGGTCCATTTGAAGCACTTCATCAATGTTTTTCTCGCTGAAAAAAACAACACTAATAAAAGAAAAGTAAACTATTTACCAAGATTACCAATAAACTTTCCATAAAACTTAAAAAAATTACTTTAACTCAAAAAATCTTTTCTTAACTTCCTCGACAGTCTTTACCACAATCAATAACTAAAACGAAGTCCACACTAACTCGAAACCGATATTAACCTCCAACTTACGTTCCATTTCTCCAGTTTAAAACCTTGTTTTTGTAGCAAGCAACCTCAAATCGTTTTCCGCAACGCTTCAGACGAACAACAGCAACATTCGTGAGCAATTTCACGTTAGTTGGAGTCTTGATCATGGTGAAATATTGATAATTTCCTAAAAATGTGACCAATTTCTCTCGAAAAAACAAAACACTTGGCGCAAAGTCAGGTTTTGAGTCAAATGTTACGCTTTTGCCGGAATTAAAATTTTGGTATTTTTACAATTTTAAAATGGTTTTTGAAGCCTTATCGACAATACTTTGGTTGTAAAAGCTGTATTTTGTGGTTTATCATATAAATTTGTCTTATATTTTGACATATTTATGGGTTTGTAGGGATTTTTGATCGTTTTAACGGTGGTTTTAATTAATTTTTTGGGGAATTTTGATATTTTTGCACTGTATTTTATTTGTTTATTATATTTCTTGGTCTGTAAAATGTGATACAGTTTGCTATCAGTTTGAAGATTGAGTTATACGTGTTTTTTTAAATAATTTTTATTTTAATTTATTCTTATTTGCATGTTATACTAGACAACTTGAGAACGGATTGTGTTTTGTAGCTTTGTTCATGTCTTTATGCCAATTGTAGTTTAACTATATTTGAGAACACATAATAGGTTTTGTGTAGGTGTTATAATACTCAGAATTGTTTTTTCAACTTTGTTTGTTGTATATTGTAGTTTCAGGTGTACAGTATATTATACTTCATATTGTTGTAGACAATATTATGGTTAGTTTCAAATTTTTAACGGAACTTTTGGGGAAATATTGTGACTTAGTTTATGTTTTTAAATTTAGCTATTTTGAAGGTTCAAAATTTTTAATTAAAAGTTGGGTTTAAGCTGTTAATACTTCAAATTTACCGTGTAAACTTCCAGTAGCTTCTTCGTCTTATTTGATGAAACTAATGTGTTCATCATCTTGTGTATATGGAAGAAACTGTTGATAGGATTAAGGGCGGATTAGGGGTGTATAATACCTAAAAAACAATTTTTTATCATATGTTTTACGTATAATAACTGTTGATTATGTTTGTGATTAAAAAGTTGTTTCCAATGGTATTAGATGACAAATTGATGACAATATTGGGTTTAGAGGATTAGCTTCTTAGTATATTAATTTTTTTCATTATGAATATTACTAGGAGCTTCTTTATCGAGCCTTTTGTGAGTGAAGGTTAGAATTTTTCTGAGTTCTGAAGGTTTTAAAAAGGCTTTACACGTTAAATCTTTTTAAATTTATGCTTTGCAAATATAGTATGACGTTTTTACTGTTTTACATTACGTTTCTGAGAAGACTGAACATGGTTATTCTATTTTACTACCTCTTCTTGTTATCAGATTATCATAAAGTGTAAAAGATTAAAAGTTTGTTCTTTATAGTTCCTAAAAGAAGTGCATTGTCTACGTTTATCCAGTGAGCATAATAAGTACAATATTCACAGCTACCTAACATAGAACCTCCCCTCCCTAACACCAGTAATAATATCGGAAATTCGTGGGTAGTTCTAAATAAATGGAGAGATATAATGGAATATTGGTTTATTTATTTGGCCAAAAGGGCCTCAAGTGTAATATTTGTTTTCGGTTTTGATGTTGTTGACACTGGCTTTGAGTTTTCTTTGACTTTTTTGGGATATCGTTTGCCTACTTTGATTTTTTCTTCACAAATGTTAAGCGCCGGAGGGGTTTAAAGGTGTTTGTAATCTTATTCCTCGGGGTTTTGGGAATCTGTTTGTTAATTAGTGGCGAGAACGGTTTCGTCGGAAGGTCAAGATTGTAGGTGGCAATACTGTATGCGGTATAGCATTAATGTTCACGTCTTTTTTATATGGTTTATCTTACATGTATTCGAATCAAACAAGTTTTTTCTTGGCTGTATAACCCTCTGGCGACGTTTTTGGTTACCGTAACTTAAAACTATTAATTTAGAATTTAAAATAATTTTTTTTGTAAATTTTAAATTATTACCCACGCCTTAAAATCGTACTTTCAGTAGCACCAAAACGTATTACACATTTTGTCAAACGAATTAAAATTTTATTTAAATTCCAATTAATAATTAAGCAAGCAACGTTTCACGTTAAGCCCACTGCTTTGTCACACATTGAGAAGCAAAAACAATGTTGTGCTTTATGCTGTTCTGAATGAGTTGGCATTTGATAGTTGTCAAATTTGGAAAAAGTGTGGTTTGGCTTGGATTTGGAAGGTTTTGGTGGTTTTTGTAGGTATTGAGCGGTCTTTAGATATATTGTGTTGTTTAGGTATTGAATGGTGTTTAGGGACCTTGTTTTGTTGATTGATGTTCTTGTACTAGTATTTTTGAGGTTAGTATTAAAGAAATTTGAAGAGGGTGTTGTGCTTTTTGCATTTTTATTGAAAGAAACAGATTTGGTTTGGATTCGGAAGGTTTTGATGACTTTTGTAGGTATCGAGTGTTTTTAGGTATCTTGTGTTAGTGATTGGTCCTCTTGTACTAGTATTTTTGAGGTTGATATCAAAGGACTTTGAAGAGAAGAAATCGAGCTTGGTAACTAGAATCTATAGTGCTCATTGTTGGCATTAAAAGTCTTGTTCTGTATTAGTGATACTATCATCAATTTAAAATTTTAGTATTAGGGCTTTTGTTGTTTTAAAATTTAAATAAATCAACACAAGCCTTCGACTTTTAACTTTTACTCTTTATCCTTGGCTTAGCGTACATTGAGAAGGCACTACCATTGCCCTTTTGAGTTCAGTAATCTCCTCATAATCCCGACTTACACTTTTTCAATGTTTTTCGTCGGAAAAGCGAAGCAAAAAAAAGGCGAGGAGGGTTGATCTTGTGGATGTAAGTTTGGCATTCTCCCTGGAGACTTTGTTTAGTCTAAGCTGAAACGGAATTGACAACCTAGATATGGGGAGATGGACGGGAGAGTGTAAAAGTATAAGGGCCGAAATGTAAATGGCCAATTTGTTTGTGTTGATTTATGTCTTCTAGTTGTGGGCATGCAAGCAATCGTTCGGGGGTGTTTTAATTAAGGTTTGGGAGCTGGGTTTGAAGTGTAGCATGTGGGTGTTATAAGATACAAGAGATACTTATAAATTTATAAAGTATTGAGTCTGCAGGGTACCACTTTCTTCCGTTTTCGTTTAAAAAGCATGGTATGACTGTAAGTGATCATATTTACCTTTGGCACTCAATTTGACCGAGACTTTTCACCGCTTTGACACTCAATCAGACCAAGACTTTTGATCGCCTTGAGACAATGTATAAGGCTGAATAAATTTTGGTCGTATTTGAAATGCCTTTGAACCTTTTTCTCTTCTTCCAGAGCGCAGATGAATGTAGGAGACCGGTCTGATTTATCTGATTCTACACGTGATTCGGACTGGTTTTGTATTGTTTTTGGTTTGATTGTCGGTGTTTGCAATTGCGCAGGTTTTCGTCTGTAGTTTTTGAATTTTCGTATTTGTCGTACGAAAATGTCGGTTTCTTCGATGTATTTTAGGTGTAACGTTGAGGTTAAAGAGGTTATTCTAATATAATTTGATGTTTTGTTTGATAGTGATTTGAACAATGAAAGCTACTGTTGGAAAACGTTATTCTGGATGATTTTCTTGGTTTTACGATGCACTTTTTTGTTCAAACGATGAATAAATAAGTTTTCATCGTAAACCATTTTAGCTCATACATCAGTTTGGCTCGTACACTTATTCATTGTACATTGTTTATGTCTGGCGGTCGTACGGAGACGGTTTGTGTTTACGGCCGTCGAAAGTTGGAGGCCGGCGCGGGTGCCGATTCCATTGGTTGACCGTTGGAGCGTTTAACGTCGCCTCCGAGTCCTTCGGCCTACTTAACGTGGATCACGCGCCCAGGAAACTTGTGAGACAGGAATTCGCAGGGGAATAGCCGGAAGCGACTTGGCGAGGCCAGTCCCGATGAAATAAAGGAAAGAAAGACAAGAAGCAGACCTTCGAGACCGAACCGCACCAATGCATCCCTCTTACTCTTCTCTGTTTCGTCTTCTCTTTCGCCCTCTCCCACCCCATTCCTAACCAGAAACCATTGGAGCGCGATTCGCTCGTTCAGAAGCGGAAAGAAAGGCTCTCCACAAGCCGTCCTTGCTCTGTCGACAATCATTTGGCCCCGTGTGCTGATAAGTGATTGTTGGAGGGGGTCGGTGGTTGGGCTTGTGGTTGGTGGTTTGGATTGTTATATCATTTAATAGTTGATCAGTATAAGATGAATTGGTTAGTGATAAGCTGATTGGTGACTTAATAAGGCTCATAATGAGATTTGAATACGTTTTACAGGTGTGTCACTTTGTTGTTAGTTGATTTTTTTCTTTGGTAATATGGACATGAATTACATTTTTTTACTTTTTGTCAAAGATATTGTAAGTAACCGCTGCTTCAAGGCTAGATCTTCTTTATGACAATAATGTTCAAAAAGTCATCAAAACGCCCAAAACTTCTTGATCAGAAACGTTTTATAAAAAATTTATGGGATCGGGTCGGATTGTTCAAACATGTGTCCTCAAAGGTTTGGCTAGTTGGTTTTGGCAAGGTTGTCATATATTTTTAGTTAAGAATTGAGTAAAATGTTAGGGATGATAAGAATTCTTTATTTTACTGCTAAGTATTTGACCAAGATTTAAGAGCAATATTCTGAAGTTTTGGGCCAAATCAAAACCTTTGTCACGATCGTTTGATAAAAAAACATAACGGTTGAAACAGTTTTTACCATCAGATCGCTTTTCCCGAAATAATTTATATAAAAGACGGTAGCGTCATGCACGTCTGACTATTCTGTTGTTTTAAGGGCAAAAAAAAACTGCTTGTAACAAGTCTGTAGCGGGGCGAACGAACGAAGACACACCACACAACTGATATGGGTGTGAACGACGGTCCTGATCCATTAGATAATGGTTTCTCGATAAGACGTTTAAACGCAATTGTCCTGACCTTTTGGCGTTTCGTAGGCTTTTTTGTGAAAGTTTCTTTTCTTAAAATAACATTTACTGTAGGCGAGTTTAAATTTGATCAGCACAGAGAGGGTTAGTAGTAACGTAGTGTAAAGTTCGTTTACAGTTGGTTTTAATTAGAGGAGTTGAAATCGTGTGTTTAGGGAAAACGTGTGATTTGTATAGGTATGAATGTTTGGGAACTTGTCGAAATTTGCTGGTCGGTAGAAGTTGAAATTTTGTCTTGATTATCGACTGAAAGTAATTGGCTTGATTTTTTGAAAAAACTATTGTTCAGCATATCTTTATCTTATTGTTGTAGCTCATTTCGCATTCTACCTGAAGCTAAGACCTTGTTTATTCTTGTTAGTAGCTTCTTCTTCAAAGTCTTTTTTTACCTGCTAGCACACCACTACTTTAAAAACCGATTTTCAATTTTCATTAGCTTCATTTGCTCGCTGAACTGTTAGCTATCGCTAAAACCCGACTCCAAAAACGTTGGCGACGCCGGAAACGGGCGAGAAGGCGCGATTCCAACAGGATTGGCGCACCATTCTTGACACTTTCGTCGCGATGAAACTGTCGTCGGATTCCGTTGCAGTAATTTGGAATATTTTACTTCTATTTCGAAGCAAAAAAGACATATTTTAGGGTTAATGCTGGACGATTTATCATACTTAAGGAGCGCGTTGAGTTGGCCGAGGATTTGTGGGTATGTGTGGTTGAATTTATATATATTTGGCTTGGATATGAGGTAATTTCAGCGTGTTTTTAGGCTTAAACTTGGGACAATTATAAATTTTTTCAGGCTTAAACGTGAGATGATTTAAAGTTTTTGTTAGGCTTTGATAAGTGCCTACTTAGGCTACGTCTAGGTTCGTTTTTATCATATTTTCAAGTATAATGGACAAAATACCTTACTAAAATGAAAACATGAATTTTCTAATCAAGAGGTGACACTCAACATAGTCATCCACAAAATTCGTTGAATTTTCATGAAATCAAGCCTTGAAACATGCGCGATTTTAAACGTTTGTTGCTGTGATTAGAACGGCGAGTGTAAAGTAATTGACTATAAATAGATGGAATTGTTTTGTCTAGGTAATTTGGAAAATCACGGAAGTTTTTTAAATGAGTTTTAGTGTGTTCGGTAAGGTATGTGTTAGCCGGTTTTAGTTTGAGCTTTTGTCTACTAATTTGTTTACAAAAATTTTCGAAAGTTTTAAGTTTTGGCGGGCGTGAACTGAACTTTTTAAGGTTGGTTGTGTTGTTTTTGGAAAAGTTTGGTCTTTTTGTAGTATTCTGAGTGTGGTGAGCGTGTATGCTGAGTGATAAGGGTACTGTGAGGTTAAAGAAATAAAAAAATTTTGATTTTTTGAGATGAGGAAGGCATGGCGAATATTTATTTATATTTAGTTTTAAAAAACATAGATTTAGCTTTTCCTTGAATTTTTTTATACGTTTTTTGCAATTTTTAAAACTTTCTAATATTATAATAGGGTTAATGACATTGTGTAACACTAGTATAATAATATTTTGTAACTAGTCGTTTATTTCTCTTAGAGGTCTTAAAATTTTCAAAACTTGACTTTCCTCGACTCACAGGTGTTTTTTTGAACTCGCAGCAACTCTGCCGTTTCTCGAGAAGTGTGCTTGATTCCTATCAGCAACCTACATAATCAAGACATCCCAACTATTCGTGCGTTTTTTCTGATAAATTTATTCAAAGACAGCCTTGAATTGTTTCGATTGCGCGACACCGCGCGAGTTCTTTCCACCCTCGTTTTTTTTCGTGCATCTGCCCCCATCAACAACCGGCGGTCCGGGGGTCTCTCGCCGAGTTGTCGCTGCGCCTCTGCCCCTCTCCACGCTTAACAACACTTTCTATCTCGGTTTTGTTCGCTTCTTACTTCCCAAAACGTCGCGGCGAGTCGCTTCCGACCAAAACCGTGCTGTTGTCTTTTTCTCTCCTTATTTCTGGGTTACAGAGGTAGAGGATTCTCGAGCTGGATCCGCCGTGAATTTGGGGATACCTGCGGATTTTGTTGTTTTTTTTGGAATTCTTGTTCTTCTGGGTTTTGAATTTCATTTTTGTGCGTGCTTTTACAGTATGATTTTTGGAAAGGGAACTGGGTGTGGGATAAACATTTTTTAGGCTTTAATTTAGGTAATTTTTGAGGATTTTTAATAATGAAAATTTTGAAAATAAATTTTTTAACATTTTTTGGTAAAAAATCAGCAGGGGGGACTACGTCCAAATTAAAAAAAAAGTTTTTTGCTTTCTAGCTAGCAAAAAAATTAAAAACTTGGCTAGTCAAGCACTTCTAGTGTTATTTTTGACAATACACTCTTTTTATTTAAAAAAAACTTTAAGAATCATTTAAACCCCACTAATTCTTACAAATTCCTTCGTAAAGCTATGACATTCAATAATAATAACTCTACGGTAAAAGTAGGATGTTAGCGGGGCTAAATATTTTTTTGGCCAATACAAGTCATGACGCATCTAAAAAAGAAAGACAGGGTTGTTTTTGTTTTGAATAGATCCTACGGCTCCTAAAAAAGGTCCTCCAGTAAATTCGTTTCGATTGAACGTCTCATATGACTTTATTCCGGTTGAAGTGCACATGTAGGTTTGTGATCTGGAGATTTTAATTTTTGAATTTGATGAGTTTTTTTTAGGTATTAATGTGGTGTTTTTGGTCTTGTCGTAATAGGTATAGCTGGTGCTTTGTGTTTGAAAAACTTGTGGCATAATCTTCTCTATATGTGTCAGGTTTTGATTCGAATCGAGGTTTGTGGCACGTTCCGACGTGTGGTTTACACATTTGCTCTCGAGCCTTGGGGAAACGTTCCATATGGTCGGGTTGGAAGCGAACCGGTTCCATCCTTTCTTATCAGACCTGATGTACTTTTCCCCCATTGCTCCGACACGTGACCCCCGGGTTCGTCCAGCCGGTCGTTAACCCCCCCCTTCCCCCCGAAGCGAACGGTCTCTTAATCCTGGCTGTATATTCTATGAACTTTGAATTTTATCAGGACTTTGGGAGATTTTGAAGATTTTTATATTGAAGTAGTTTTGAGACGTTTGAAGGCTTTTCATGTTGTGTTAGGTTTGGGTTTCAAGAGTAAAATTGTTTTTCTGGAAATATTTTTGAATAAGGAAAAAATGAATTAGAAAAAAAAAATTGAAAAAAAAATCACAGAGGGAGGGATTCTGTTAAAAAATTGGAAAAAAACCTTGACTTTTTTTAATTTTTTGCATTTAACCTTGTTATTATTTAAAAAGTCCTAAATTTTTAACTCATACTCACCTAGAACAACCCGCCATATCCGGAAATAAACCCCTATAAAACCCGCTGATGCTGGGACGAAAAAAAATTCCAGGAAGAAAAAAAAAGTGGGGGAGAAATGGCGCTAACTTAAGTGTCCCCGAGACCGCGCTTCCTTGCACTTGGCGGCGGCCTGGGTTTTTTTTTCTTCTGGCCATCATCAGACCGTTACGTTCGAAGCAGCCGCACCTTCGTTCCGCTTATCCCCCCCCCCTCCTAGTGGAAGACGGCGGAAAAGCCGGTTGTCATCAAGGCGAGCGAGTAAATTGTCAAGTTGAGGGGCCGCGGCGGTTAACAAAAGGTCACTTTCTGGATTTGGGGGGGTTAATTTTTGGAAGGAGTGGTATACTGGATTGAGAAGGGGGGGGGGTGATATATTGAATTGGGAGGGTAAAAGGTATCTTGAATTGTAAAAGGAAGGGATGGTCATGAGATTGTTCATTAGCTGAGGGGTATTTTTGAAAATGTAAAGTGGGAGAGGGGTAATATTTTGAAGTGTATTATAACTAACTTCTTACAACTTTAAAAATTTTTTAATTGGCCTTTTTTGCCTTACCGGTAATTTGGGTTTAATGGCTTTTAATAAGCCCTACTTCTAAATCCGGTTAATGATTTTTTGGGATTTGATTACATTTTAAATTTTAAAAAAATTTAACTAAAATTATCAAAACTTTTAGGCCTAAAACAACGTTTTCAATCCAAAAATCGCTAGTTTAAAGTTTCGGATCAACGATTTCAAACGTTTTTTCCGCTCTTTTCTCAAAAATATCATTGATCCGGACATGTTTTGAAGTGAGGTGCGGAAAATAAGCGCGCGCGCCGTTTTCATCGCGCCCTCCGGCTTATTCCACGAGGGGTTTGGTTGGAAAAAAGTGGCGCGAGCAGACCTTGCGTATGTACCCCCATCCTTCTTTAAGCTTGTTCGGAAGAAGCTCCGGTATTCCGGAGACTCGGAAGAAACGAAAAGCCGACGGCCCCGCCGGTCACGGGCCGAAAGGCGCTTCTCGTTGTCTTAACGGCCGAAAACTGGCGCCTTTCGCCGCGGGCTCGGGCCTTCCTTATTCCACCCCATTCTGCTCAAAAACTCTTCGAACTCGGCGGTTCATTAACAGTCGCGCGACAATTCGTTGTTTACTTTTGGGGGTGATTTTGTTTGGGTATGGCAGGTGTTTTTGGGGTGATTATGATGATTTTTTTAGATTTTAGGGATGATATGTTTTGTAGGGATTAGATTGTAAATTATTGATGATGATTTAAAATTTTAGGCAACATTTTTTATCATAGGCTTACTTTTAGGTAATATTTTACCATATTTTTACATTGTGTCATCAAAAAAATAAAAATTGTGAACGGGTCCTCCTGCTTTTTATTTTTTTTGACCAGCCCAAATTAATCTTTTTTAAAAATCAAACATGCTTATTTAAACGTTCAAAACTTTATGTTTGGAACGTTTCTGAACTTTTAAGTTTATGTAAGATCAAGATAACGATCAGTTTCTTAGCGTAATGACTAAGGTAGACCTGTTAATTAGTTAAAAGAGTTCTTTTTGAATGTTTTATAGCTGATTTTGGGTCGTATTGTTGATTTTATGACAAAAATTTGAATTTTACTTTTCTTTTTATTTTTTGAATTATTAGTATTGAAAATGTGGAAAAATGTATTTTTGTATAACTTACAGTAACGTTATTTACAAAAATTTTGAAAAAAATTGTTTTTGCTTACAAAACCTTTTAAATTCTCGTCTCAACAGAACCAATCTTACTTTAAAATATATAGGCTGAAAGATTAACCTTACTTTGAAGTAAATAGTTAAATATTCATATCTGTTGATGTATCATGTATAGTTATTGTGTTCTAATGTTTAGGGGATGTAAAATGAGAACGGATTAACATACTTAATTCTTTCTTCCTTTGGTATTTTAACTTTCCATTGTTAATATAACAATTAATAATGTCATGGTTGTTAATAATGTGTTCGCGATGATTTTTTTTTGTAAAAACATGAACTGTTTTTTATGCAAGTATGCTTAATTTTTATATTTATATTTGTGGCATGGTGTTTTAAGGGGGAAAGGTTTAAAAATTTTTTAGTTGGCAGGGGTTTTGTTATTAAAAAAAGTTACATTTGGGGGCGGGGGTCGCTTTGAAAATCTGGATATAATTTTTTTCTGACTTTTTTTTGTTCAAGTAGTGTAAGATAGACATTATTATTTGTTTTATAAGCAACTTTTTATATGTATGCTGGTATTTTTAATTTTTTTTTGATATTGCACTTGTATTTTAAAGTAAAACTTCATTTTTGAAATTTTAGTTTTTTTGTGATTTAGGTTTTTATATTATCTTTGTTATCTTTTGGCTTTTTATGTTATCTTCAATATTTTACTCTAGTTTTTATTTATATTATAGTTGATATTTTACTCTAATTTTTATCCTTAAATTCTTTGGTACTCAAACTAATTTTACATTATGACCAACCTTTTTCGAAACCGCTAGTATTTACTTTCTCTTCTATTTTCCGGCATTTTGTGCCCGGCGCAGTCGAATGGAATGAGTCAGCGGCGCGCTCGTTTCGGCCAATCACTGACCAGTCGGTTGCGGGTGTCGGGGGGTCTTGGCCCTTCGCGCCGCTCGCCGATCCGACCGACCATCTCCTCCATCTATCTGCGAGGCCGTATCTCTATCTGGTCGGCTCTATCCCGACGACTCTCTCATGTATATCTATGCGAGCGCCGAGCTCTCTATCGGTCGCCCATAGCCCGCTCTCTATCTCTGCCCATCGTCTGTCCGCGGCGAAACGAGTCCGTCGCGTTACCCGAAAAAGAGATTTTTGCATTCGAACATTGATTTTGCAGGCTTTCCACACACTCGCGCACCTCCCCTCCATCACCAACCCCACCGTCGAACCGAGGTTCAGGGCAGAGTGAGTGTGGAACGGCCCCGCGAACGGCCTGGAATAAAAAAGAATGTCTGTCCTTATGGGCCCATCCGAATATCCACTGGCCACGCGAGACCCAACGCAGCAGGTAAGTTGATCATGTGATTGATGTGCGGGTTTGTTTCTTCGGGTTTGTTTTTGATTTATGGGTTACGGACATGGTGGTTAGTGATGGTGTTAATTGGAATCCGGAAAAGGGTTTATAAAGCATTTTTTGTGAGAGAATTAGAGGAAAGATAATGAATATATTAAGGTTGATCAAGGTTTATAAGCTTTACTATTTTTTTTTCTTATTTTTTTCTAAAAAATCAGTGGGAGTTTAGTAAAAGCTAGCTTTTTTGGCCTAAAATATCATGAAAACAACTCTTAAAATAACTAAAAGCAACCCTAAATGAACAAAGATTAAAATCCTTTTCATTAATTAACTAAACCAACTTTCAGCAACAAAACTACGGCTACCAATGGACGAACAACCGATCCTCGCCCAACTCCCTAGGCAGCACCAACAATAGTCCCTCCCCGCTCAACTCGAGTGCACCAGCAATGAACCCGACGGCACCATCGCCGCTAGTGAGTGCCAACATGGGACCACCTACATCAAGTTCGAATAATCAAGAAAATACGAGTCCCGCATCGAATTTGAGCCCTCAAGGCGAAGCTTCGAACCCCGGATCGCAGAATCAGATGCCCGGCACGGCGGAAGGCCAAATGGGACAGATGATGCCGCAGGCATCGGGCATGGGAATGCAAGGTCAGGGTATGGCGAATCAAGGAATGACACCACAGGCGAATCAAGGCCAAGGAATCACCCCTCAGGGAATGGGCATGTCTACCATGCCAAATCAGGTGCTACGAGAACAAAACCCAAACGAAATTCAAGGTTTGTACGACTACGAGATGTGCTGTGGCTCTTTGAACCCCCAAATGCCACTACCGTTTTCCCACTTTGACCAGATCCGTCACATGCTACTCCAAACCCGCTACACCATGCAGGATCACCCCGCCCTCCGGGCCCATTTTGCTCCTGGCGTGAATACCGCCCAAGGCCAGAACCACATCATCAACATGTACCCACCGGGCGTACCACTAAACCGCGGCCAATGCATGATGATCACACCACGCCCAATGATGCCCCAACCCATGCCCGTCCAACAACCCGCCCCCGCTCCACCCGCCAAAAAGAAACGCCAAACCAAGAAGGAGAAAGAGGAGCAGAAGAAGCGTGAGGAGGAAGAGAAACGAATGCAAATGATGATGCAACAACAACAACAGTTCCAGAATCAATTCATGCCCATGATGCCGATGGATCGGCCGTCCTCGTCGGAGATGGTGGATCATAGGTTAATGTCGCCGAGCGCATTGCCTCCGCATATGAAAGGTAAATCTTAATTTAAAATTTTTAAAAAAGTAGCTATGTCTGTTTTTGATACCTAAAATATTAGTTTTGATCTCTAGATTAATAAATTTAATGTTTTTTGCTAATTTTTTGACTGTTCTGCCAAAAAAAAAAACTTGCCACATTATGACCTCTAAACCTTCACCTACAACAATATAATTTTTCAGGTCCAGACGGCTTCGCGATACCCGGACCAGTGATGAATCGTTTCAAAGTGCCCGAACGAATAGTCGAACAAAACCAACCTTGTCTAGCCTGTAGTCAACCTGTACAACCCGACAATAAAGGAATACGATGTACGATAGGTGGCATGGGATGTGGAGCTGTTTATCACGCGGTAAGTTGGTTTATATTGTTGTTTTGTTAAAATTTAGGTAGAGATTGAGGTCGAAAGGGATTCAAGATTGATTAAAGGTTAGAGAGAAAGAGGTAGATTGGTTAATTTAACAAGAAATTGCGATTCTAAAGAGTTTTAGACTAGTTCGTAGCTGATTATGGCTCAAACCTTATTTTCTACCTAAAATAATGTTAAAATTGGGGCAAAAATTACTTTATTGACTCAGGATAGCTAAAATTAGAAGCAACTACTTATTACGGAACTGATTGATACCTAACCTTTCTCTTTTGGACTTTTTTTTATTACTTCTTTTGCGCTAAAACAACAGTTTGTTACCTAAAATATGAAGAAAATTATATTTACCTCAATCACAACGTTTTTTTTCAGGCTTGTGTACAAATAAGCCCGGAAGCCCTACACCTGTTCATGCTAGAACAACAATGTGAATGGATTTGTGGCAATTGCACGGCGAAGCGCCGAACACCCGCCTTCTAAACCTAACAATGAGGCTGGGCCTCTGAACTAAATATCTCTTTAAACAAATTGTAAGCGTCTTTCCACTAATCACCCACCAGATTTCCAACAAATTACAGCAGATTTACAACTACTAGCCGGCCGGGTTTTCGAGTTTTTCCTTTGGGGCGGATTTTCATTGATTTGTATTGATTATGGACTGCACAGTGCAAAACCAAAGTTTTTGTGCCTTGCACCGTGCTGTTTTATTCAATGGCTTAGCTTTAGGAAAAAAATTAAATATGGTACAAGAAAATGAATGAGAATATTAGAATATTGATAAAATGTTTTTTTGATCTATATTTTACAACAATATAACAATTTAGGTAATATTAGTCGATTTTGAAGGTTCGAAAATTGACCGCACCGTGAAGCCTTTAGCTTTTGTATAATTTGCACGGTGCAGCTAATAATGACTTTTGTGATAAATTAATATTAAATTATGTCGAGTTTTAGGTAATATTTTATAATTTTGTGATATTTTTGTAAATTATTATTAGATGATTACAGTAGGCTTTTTTTGTAGCTTATAATGAGTATTATTTTTGTTATATACCTATATTAAGACATTTTTAAATCGTACTTAAGTCACATTGAAATAATTTTAGTTAGTATAATAATATCATACTGTAGATTTTACAATATCATACTGTAGGTTTTTTGAATTCAAAATTTTAAAAATCACCCCCTAATTTACATTTTTGAAAGGAAACACGCCCTGAGACAGAGAAAGAGAAATTAAGTCAAGAAAACCACCCCCAAAGCAATAAAACCCGAAACACAGCCTCACCCAGAGTAGTACAATATAATTCTCTCGATTTCTATTACCAACATATACACAATAACTACAGTAATCCACCCCCTACCTTACCGTGTCCTCTTGTACAAAGCTCTTTTTATTGTTACATGTTTTCTTTTCTGTTTGTCTCAATTTGTTGTTTTAATTATTCCTCTTCTCTTTGGTCCTTTTCTTTTAAGCCCGTGATGCCGAAACCCTTCGATTGTTCGATCCAAAAACTGTTCAGGAAACAATGAAAAGAAACAAGGATAAAATAAACATCTAATTCACTTATTCGAATTCATTTCCATTCAAAGAAGACACGGTTTTCAAGGTTTGTTGCGACTAATTTGGTCACAAACAACAACACTTTGTTTACAGGATGTCACATACTAATTTGGAAGGGTTTTGGTATGAAGTTTGAGGAAGTTTAAGAATATTTTAATAAGTAATTAATTTTAAAACTTAATTTGGACTAGTTAATAAGACAGGTTATTATGGATTTTTTAAAGTTAATGGAGTAGAATATGGAGGATAAGTAAAGTAGGGTAGGATCAAACAGTGTAAAATGTGTTAGGGTTACTATAGTGTAAGGTAGGGCTGGGTTAGCTCATTGTATGGGTACAGAGTTTGATTCTGTACGTTACTTTACAAAAAGAAGAGGATAAAGCAGGGTAAGACTAATTTACTAGGGCGAGGTAGTGTAGCTTATGGATATTGTAGAGTAAATAAAGTCCGATATGGAGGGTAGGATAAGAAGAGCTAGTATAAATAAAACTATAGTAATGCAAGATATCGTAAAATTTGGGAGGGTTACGAAGGTACTGGGTTATGGTAATCACCACATAAACCTAAGAAAGATTACTGTAGGGAGGGCACGGATAGGGCTGGGGCGTGGTATGAGCACTGGTAGGGCTTTGCAAATATAAAGTTAACATATAACTAGGGAAAGGATACTTTGGAGGCAAATGGTAGGGCAAATAATACAAGGAAAGGCTATGTAAACTACTGTAAGTTTAAAGAAAGCAAAATGAGATGTATAATCGTAATTGAGGGTAGTGTAGATTAAAATCTGATTGTTAAGGTTAGTATCTTTATTCAAAGCTAAAAAATCATTTGTGAATAAAATATTGAGTATCATTTTCTCAAAAACTCATAGAATTTGTATAAGTGCAGAAGGTAACGAGAACATATGGCAATTTACAGATGAGATCGCACTGAGATTCTTAAAAAGCATTCAAAAAAGAACTAGGATTAAAATGTAAAGTATGAGTTTGTCTACCAAAATGTCATTTAACTCATCGACAAGATAAATACTACGTTTTCGTAATAACTTTTTACATTTACAATGCAAAAATACATTGTAAAACTAGTAAAACATGATTAAAATCGTCATACACAGCCTATGCGACAACATTATAAGCATTAAAACTACTCCTTAACATTAACAACCATTTGTTTCCTCTTCGGATCATCAAACCGGTCGATAGTCTTGACACTATTCAACATCAAGAACCCAAATGTCAAGATACTGATGAGCAGTACTGCAACAATAATGCCCATCCAAGAACCAGCACTGAATGTAGGTACACAATCGTTTGTCAGCATCGCAAACTTGGCTTTCTGATCCTTCAATACTCCTGTAGTTTGAATTTGAACATTGCCTAGTACTAGTCCAAAATCAAAGTTCTTCTTGTTGGTACGAAAAACGGCAGCATTTGTAGCTGAACAAGCGTAGTTGTAGCCATTGTAGCCAGTCACACCTAATGATAAGACTGAAGCAGGTGAAGCTGATTGAGGCTTCACAGAGAGAGAAGTGTTCAGCCATTCTTGTTGACCTTTTTTGATTTGGATGTCATCATTGATAACTACGTCCACGAGACGCCATTCGTTCTTTAGGTTCTTGATTTTTAATCTGAAATAAGGTAAAGGTAGTGGAACACCAAAAATTTAAAAAATTATTAAATTTTAAATTTTTTTTTAAAATTAGGATATTACCATAGACAAAAAGCCTTGCTATGAATTAAATCAAAGAAATCAACAAAATATTTTATATTGATAATAACTTACGTAAAAGAAATTGGTTGATTAATACTAAAGAACGATGACTTTTCTTTCATGCCACTTCTATAGGCGTTCAATGGCTTTGCTGGAGTAGCTTCGATTGTAAACCTATAACAAAGAACTTAAATGTAAATCATATTAGAAAATGTTAACCAAGAACAAAACAAGATAAGGTCGAGTAAGGTAAAGTAGGCTATGGCAAGACAAGGTACATTGAGAGAAGGTAAAAATAATTAAGGTACCAAGGGTTGAGTAGGGTAAGGAAGGGTAATATAGAAGGCGAGGGGGGAGGGGGGGGGTAGTTCGGAGTGATCCCCCCCCCCTCCAGAGAAAATCCGTAGCGACGTCCCTGGGTATAATATGGTACGGTAGGCTAATGACAAACATAAAAAATCTTTACAATTTCAAAAACCCACTCATATTCTCCATTTTCGTCATCACACTTCACGTTGCCATCTCCAAAACTGAACTTATTGCCACTCCGACTGTCCATAAAAGCCCCAATGCCCAGTAAATCTTTTTTCCGTGTAGCATCAAACACGTACAACCCTATTGACTCGAGGTACAAAAGACACGATCCCCATTCAGAATCCGGCTTCTTTGGACTGGCAGCCTTCGAGTCATAGGGTGGCAGGATGACTGGGAAGTTAAGAGAAGCGCCTCCAGAAGATCGGAACCTGGATTTGGACTTTGACTTGGAGTTTTGACGGGATCTTGGTCTAAAATATGATTATAATAAGTACGTATATAATATTAGCTTGTTAAAATAATTCTGTGCCCTTTTCAAAGCAATTTTTCGGGCTTAGAGGCACATAATTATTTGAACAACCTAATTGTTATGAAATGCCTGATGTTATATATTTTTCAATTTTTAAAAATAAAAAAAAACGAACTTAAAGGATACGGTAAGATACTGTAAAATAATAATTTTTTGATCAATTTCAAAATAAAGAAACATGATTTGGAAAGAAGTAATAAAAAGAGCGTATTTTACACAACCTACCTTGGATCTTCTTCCTCCTCCTCCTCTCCTTCATTGTCATCAATAAGGCCAACCCTCTTAACTCGGCTGTTAACTTTAAATGCCTCTGGCTCCGACAAAATGGCCACAAAATCATTTTCAAATTTCTTGATTGAGTCTAGAGTTTCCAGCATTACCTCAATATACTCCACATTTGGATTGTTTTGGGGAATCTAAATTTTTTTCAATTTTTTTAGGTTATGTTTTTGAAATTTACTATATTTTAGGTACAAAAACCTCCATAACTACATAATAGAGCTACCAAATTTAAGAAAGATTAATTTAGGTAACAATTATAAGCCTTTTATAAATCATTTAAAAAATTAAAAGGTTCCTTTTCAAATCCTAAATTTATAACAATTTCAAACAATTACATACCGAAACTCCATTGAAATTGCTAATCTCTTCGTGTTTTTTGCTGACAATGCTATGTAGCACACTGGATTCATCTGTATCTTTGTCCAAATTATCAAGATTAAAGTCTTCCACACCTATCAAGTACACTTTTTGCCTTGGATTTGCAGAATCGACCAAGGTTTTGATGTCTTTTTCTCTAAAACAAGGTGATTTTAGCGAATTTGTAATGAAAAAAGTGTAATATTAAGTTCCTTTTGAAAAAGTAAAGGATTTTTTAAAACCTACAAGTTTGAAGCATCTGAAGACCACAAAATAGCATCATACGACACCACCAACGGTAAAAATAGAACTCCAAGGAGATTTAGATTCATTTTATTCTAAAAACATCATGTTAATATACAGATGAATTTATACTACATATTTTAAAACTATTGTAAAAAATTTGAAGGAATTTGTACAGGAAACAAGGACAAACAAAAAATGTCCAATAAAATATCGAGCGGCATGCGAAAATGCCATTCGCAAGCCTTTTAAGGACAGCTTCTGGCGTATAAGTTGGTTTTAGCACTAAGAAGTCGTTTGAATATTATTTTTTCACGTTTCTTGATATTTTTGATAATTTTATGTTATCAGAATAATAAATAAAAAAATTACCATCTTTTGAATCATGTTTTGTTATCCTTCTGCAATTTATATTATTTTTCTGTTCAAAAAGAAAAGACTTGACCCATTGATTCGAATGTTTGATCAAAAAATAAATAATTTTTGGTTTGACGATAGCTAGATGTTGAACTAAATGACTGAGAATGGAAGTACGGAAGAGATTTACGTGTCTAGAAATCTGGAACGAGTTTGGGTATGCTTTCACTGTTATTTTTCGATTTTATTTTTGCTTTAAACTTATGTTATTCATTAACTTTTGGGAGTTATTAAACCATTTTTCTTCAGGGAATTGTCAAATTCAATCCAAACTTTGCGGAATTAATCTACAACGAGCCTGAATGTGTAATAGAGAAGTTGAACAGGGTTTGCAATCTCAAACTATCAAAAGCTGTAAGTTTTAATTAAATTTATATTTATGTTTAGGATGTTACTATTGAAAGACTGATCACCGAAGCGACAAATCTTCTGAAGGCTCCGCCAGCTGTTAGACATGGTTACTCTCTGTATATACGATTTGACATTCATTCCAAGACAAAGTTATTCAGTGGGTTTTACCTGGTCGAACGAAACCTGGAGCTTCTGAAGGAGAACTTTGTGTTAGAACTGACACCAGCTCCGGTAGGTGACTTTTATGGTTTATATTTGTTTGGATTTTAGGATTATTATGTTGAGAAGGTATTGGATGCCCTGAAGGATGGTAATGATGTTGTAAATACGTTGAAGAAAGTCTCTAATGCACTGAATGACCAGTTTTTCTTTGAAATTTGGGTACACAAGGTGGAATTTAAGAGGGTTTTGCAGATTTTCATTGATTCTTATGAATTGTAAGTAATTTACATTGATTTAACTATTATTTTTGTTATTTTTCTGTTTTTTTAAATCTGTGTTCAGGAACATTAGCATTTTAGTGTATCCGAAAACTATCAAGCCCACTTGATGGAGTACGTGTCTAAAGCTTCTGAATTTGATTGGTCACAGGTCGATAGGGGTGTAATTATGTCAGCTTTACATTTACTTGACATAGATAATGTTTCAAGGCTAATGTCGTCTTTTGTCGTTACTTTATTTCAATATGTCGTCGATAAACTGTAAGATTTTACTTATTGTTCTAAAATAATTATGTTTAAAGAATTAAAATTGTATTTAGTTTTAATTTTTCCTGTTATTTTATTATAAAGTATGTTATCTTAGTTTAATGTCTACATCAACATAATTTCAGGCCAGAATACCACGATTTCCTATCAGAAAAGCTGGATTTCGAAAAGATTTTGAATCTTCTGTTACATTCCGAGCAAACTTACTACTACTCATTTGTAAGGGTGCTGTTCTTCCTCTGGCAAATGGCTGATGAGATTACGTTCGAGCAACTTAAAGTAATATCTTGTACAGAAAAGTGGGTACAATGTTTTAAGCCTATAGTGGAGAATGTTGCTCATTATCAACATATGAAATTGACTCAGGAATTGAGCAAGTTGTGTGCTGGAAGAATGGCATATTTGACTGAAAAATCAAAAATTCGGCCGAATATTGAGAATGTCAACAGGATTACAGTGAGTTTTCGGTAAAATACGGTGTTCTGTGGTAAAAATATGGAAACTTGTTTAGTTTTCTGGAAGTTTTGGAATCTTTGGATTGTTTATGAAGTATTTTATGATCAGTTTTAATTAAAAAATATGTATTTATAGCACTTTTGGACTAAAAATCTTTAGAAAACAATGAAATTTTGCTATTTGTAATTAAAAATTTTAGAATTGTTACCTAAAACGCAGTAAACTTTTCTTTTAGGATTTGATTTTTTCTTTTAGGATTTGATAAGAAACATTGGTGAGATATCTCCGTCGTCTAGCTACAGGCTTTCCAAGAGTGTAGCAGCTGAATTCTCTCTGGCAAGAGATAGCAAAACGTTTGAAGCTGCACTGTGCAAAACTCCACCTGGACTAATGGCGATTGAATTTATTGAATCAGCTTTGTCTGACGAGGATCAAGAGCTTTTTGACGTGGGTTTGGGCTTTTCGTTCTTTAGGCTATATTGGCGTTTTTAAAATTTAAAAAATTTTAATTTATAAAATTTTGTTTTTTTGTATTTTTTAAATCTATAGTACTAGAGAAGTGCTTAAACTAATTTTTTGAAAGTTTAAAAGCTTTAATATACTTTTTTTCAGCTAGCCACAAAAGGCCCGTTGTGCCCTGAAGACTGGTGCATCACAATGTCGGACTTGATCTCGAAAACCTTTAAAACAATGAAAAACACGACTGGAGGCATGCGGCTCTGTCCTCTATTCCTACTAGAAGCCAATCCCTTGCCTCAATTTCTAAAATCATTGGCAATTTTGTTCAATCAAACCTGGTTAGAGGTCAATAACAAGAAGGAGAGTGTGAAGAATGTGTTGGAAGTGACTCAAATCAAGATCAGAAGTTGTTTGGAGACATATCCATTAACTGTAGCTGAATGGAGTCGCTATTTCCGAGAGCATTTTGATTCTGAATTTAGTAGGAATGAAGTGGAATTGTTAAAACAAGGAAGGAATGATTTGGAAAAGAGATGGAGAAGGTGAGGATATAGGCTTATAAGTGTGGTAAACTTTGGTAAAGACAGTGAAGTTGCCATTTTAATATACTAATCATACTTATGCAGTCATATTACTAAATATATTTACACTTTCAATGTATTTTCAGAGCCCTATCAGACCAACAGCTACCAAATATCAAGAGTATTATCAAAGAAACCTACTCAAAACCTCTAAAACAAGGTATTGTGTTACAAAAACTGCCGAAAGATATCGACCGGTTGTTGGAAAGAGAAACTTTGAAGAAGGAAGACAAGTTGCAGTACCGACGTTGGAGGTTAAGCACGTTTGAAGATGTGTTGTTTTACAGAGATTGTACTGAAAATGGAGAAGATATTAAGAATGGGGAAAAGGCTGGGAGTAAGTTTGTGAAAAAGGGCTTGAAATGGCTTTGAAATTTGAAAAAAGTGAAGGGTTTTTTTTTAATTTTGGTTTTTTGTTACATTCTCTTTGCCGTAATTCTGTGCTTCCCAACTCCGAAAATTTGCTTTGAGAGGGGCATAGTATTATTTGAACAGCCTAATAAATACATCCTTTCATACTTAAACTCTGTATATAGACTAACATAACAAAATTTCAGTCAGAATCGATGAAATCAAGCACATTATCCATGGACCCGATTTCCTAGCTCATGCGAATATTAGTAAATTCGAAAATCTGAGCTTCCAGTCAGGTATCTTCAACTCGCTAAAGAAAAGAAAGTCTCACCCATTAACAATGCCGAAAGGTCTAGTCTTACAGACAGTGGAAGATACCTACGAAATGATATGTGATAACGAAGATATTTTGGGGAAAATCATTAAAACTTTGAATATTTTGTGTTGCAAAAAGTATCCTGAGCGTGATGTGAGTTTGATGGACGTTTATTAGCGTTGGGAGGTGTAATATAGGGCTTTGATCAAGCTTCGGGGGTAAGGGGAGCTGGTTTTTGGGTCAGGTTGATGTTTAGGCAAGCTCTTAAGGCTAAAAACTTGATGTTATCACTATCCTTTTTTGGGTTTTTTGTTTAGAAAAGCCAGTCTTTACGGTTTAAAACGATGGTTTTTGTAAAATTCGTTATCTCTGATAGTTTTTCAATCAAAAAAGTAAAATTTCATTGCTATTTCAGGTCGAAACTTTACTGAACATTCAAGTCGAGACTCGCCTATTCAACCTTAAGGTCTTGAAGTTGGAAAAGGTCGGACCGCCAAAGGAAGCGGAACAAAACTCAGCCAAAACGGCCAAAATGTCAACTACTGCAATATTATCAGAAGTGTTACCCAAGTCTAGTACAATATCTTCGGAACTGGCATCGAAGACTACAACAATATCGTCAGAACCCTTACAAAAGCCTTCAATCGTAGCAAGCTTTCCGAAATCGTATTACGACTGGATCCCGAAAGACTACCATAACATGATCAACCCGAAAAAAGTATTAAGACTGAACCACAAGAAGGCAACAATACCTAGCTTTAACAAAAATGTCACTGAAGTAACATATGACTATGATCTTGAACACGATTCCTCATCCGACAGCTCTGATCTGTGATTTTGGCAAGTATAATACTTTTATCTTGATCTTGGCAAGTATAATACTCTGCTTCGTGATCCTGTCAAGTATAATACTCTGATCTGTGATCTTCTTAAGTATAATATCAGTATTAATGTAAATTATGTATAGTGTCAGTATTTTGCAGTAATTACTGAATTTTTAATAATTTTTTGAAGTTTAGGTATTAAGATTTTAGAATTTTTCGAAATGTTATGCTTTTTTTGAAAAGTTTCGTACGTTCTAGTATGCTAGCTAGTATAACATGATTAAATGCCTATTTATAGACTGAAATATCTCGTTCAGCTAAATGTACTTTCGATTTGAAATCCAAAATTTAGCCCAATTTACATTCAATCGACGATTGACCTCGTTCGTTTTGAGGCGTTTTTAAACGCCCAGCTTCTTGAAATCAGCTGATTTTGATGATGCTGATGTCAGTAGTTTTAAATTTTTTTTTACTTTAAAAAAAACTTTATTACAGTACTCTCTTTATATAAGCAACCCGAAGGGACCGACTTTTGTGTTTACTGTAGGGGGTGTTGTTTTTACAGAGTAAATTTGAGCGCAAATTGACTTGGCGAGGCTAAATTTCTTGTTTGTTATAAGGATAGTTGCAACTAGTTGCTGATACAGATGGTTCACTATACAGAGACTATTGTACTTTTTTTACCACTAGATATACAATTTGAGACGTGAGGCGGGATCGTGATGGTTTGGTGAACACCGTCAGAGCAATCTATTGTAGCTGTTTCTAGTTGGGCCCCGCCCAGGTGCTCCAGTTTCTCGAGCTACAGAGTCATAATGTGATGGTATGCTCCTCAAAGTTTCAGACCGTATTTGGAAGTGTTGGCCAAGAAACCGGTTTTTTATAGTCCCCGTGCTCATAGCACTTGCCATTCGTTTGTAAATTACTATTGCGCTTGACTGAGGTTAGTAGTACTACTTTTTATACTTTTTTTGTATTATAATTGCAATGAAGCCACATTGAACTAGGGTAATCTAAATTTTATGTTTACGTTGCTTTGCGGATTAAAAAAATTTTCAAAAATTTAAAGATTTGAAGAGGGGGGGGGTTTTATTTGACTTCAAGATCAAGTGAAACTCCTGTATAAAAGATGGCTCGGGAAGGTTAAAATTGTTCGTTATAAAGCAGTTTCGTTACACAAGATACAGTACACTTAAAAGTCCTGTATAAGCCTTTAAATGACAAATTTTAAGTCCCAAAGCAATCTAATTCTTCTATCATTACCACTAATTAGTAACCAAAAACTGAACAATAACATAGTAGAACATCGTAAACTTCCTCTAATTTGCTTTGACGGCATTCCATAACCGTTCTTCACATTCCGGTTACATCCCCTGACTAATCCGCTCAAGCTTGTCGTTGATTTGATTTGAAACGTCGCTCTAATCAAGTGATAAAAGTAATGACTAAACTTGGTCGTTTTATGTTCGTTTCGTACGTTCACGTTTTGTCATCGTGATGAGTTGGTTTTTGTTCTGGGAGCTGGTGAAGGATTACATGCTTAGTCTTGTTATCATATCATAATATTAAGGAGACATATCATTTTACCATTTCCATAGTCAAATTCAAAAAAAAATTTCAAATTTAAAACAAAAAGCACGTTCGTCGGCACGTTCCTTGAGTCATAGCGAACGCGCCATTAAAAACGTCAAGCGCATAATTTGTACAAGCCCGGCGGCGGTTTTTTTCGAATTCTCGTTCAAATCACATCAAAAAACCGCTAGCCGCTTTAATGGGCGCGCCTGAAAGGTCGAGAATCAAACCGCCCACTTGACGTGTTATAAAACCGTGAGCTGAAGTCAGAAACAGATCAGCGTCCACGGAATAACGTTTATTCGGATGGTGGGGGTTTTGAAGATATTATACATTGTCTTTGGGTCGTATTGGATGGTACAGTTTAGGCAGGAACGGGCGGTGCAATAACAAAAAAAAGGGGGGGGAGGAAGAAAGGACTTTTAAAAATGAAAAAAAATTTTGGGTTTGAAGGTAAAAATTCACAGCTACACCCAAACCTCTTTAGTATAACATTAAAGGGACTGGGCCAGACGTGTCCTTATGTAAAAACAGGGTATCACACTACCCAGGTATTTTTGATATACGTTCTATTAGGTTGTTCAAATAATTATGTGCACCAACTCCAAAAATTAGCTTTGAGAGGGGGCAGAGAACTTTTTGAACAACCTATAACAAAGGGCGGTCAAAAAACTTTCATGATAAGGAGTATATCACACATTGAAGGTCATACTAAAGATTTTACTCTACAGTAAAACAATTTTTTTTGCGTTTCAACCCTCAGCCCTCCCCCTGATTTCAGGCAATTTACAAAAAAATTATTTTATATCTCACTGTCAAGTAATTTTTTTTCAAATTCAACCTCTTTCTAGTCCCTGACCCCAAAAATTGGGAAAATCGGTAACAGAGATACTCATCCTTATTTATCTTCAATAGGAACGCCCATAAACAACAAAAAAACTGAAGGTTATTAATAAAGTTTGACTTTAAATTACTTTTTCGGTATAAAGTTTTACATTTTGGACACTACGCATTGTTCACTCAATATCATCAACTAAGGGCGTATTTTACCGAAGTTTTTCGTATTTTCTTCGTTTTTGAAATTATTATAAGATTTTTTTTTCAATTTTATTTTACCGTGATGACCACTTATAATACTACTTAAAAATTGGAAAATAATGTTTAAATAATTCTGTGCTCCCTCTCAATGCAAATTTTTGAGATTAGGGGGCATATAATTATTTAAACAACCCAATATTATCCCAGTTAAAATACTTGAATTTAGACTAGAGATTACAGATTATTTTTAGGTTTAAAATCATGTTCCGATCAGCTTTAAAATTCTTCTTCTTCTTCATGTTCGTACTGGCAGTTATGGGCAACCGAGCAAAAAGAGGTGAGGCTATATAACTTCGTATTTTACAAAAAAACTTTAGTAAAATTTAAAATTTTTTTAACTTGAGACATTTTGTTAAAGATATTTTTGAAAATTCGAAAAGCAGCTACCATACTCTCTCTACCTTGCCCTACCTGATCCTGCCTTACACTATTTTACCATACCCTAATATTCTAATACAATTTTCAAAAAATAATTTTAAAAACTCCAGCCGAAACCCCAGCCTTCCTCCAAGACGATGGTTTGAATGAGATTCCAGAAGCCGAAGCTAGTGGTGAAGCCCCATCAGATGCCACTTTCCTACGCGATTCCGAAGGATCTGGCTTCGAAGCTTCGGGGCAAGAAGCTTAAACCTACCTCAGTTTAAATTTGCTTGAGTTTTTGAATCGAAAGGTATAAGGTATTGGCCTAAAAATGTAGTTTTAGGTCAAACCTTCCGATTCAAAAGCTCGAAATGTAATTAACTTATCGTTATTTATTTATTATCGTTTCATAAAGAAATCTAAACAAATTCGGCGGGGAATTCGACGCGCAAAGAACAATATTATTAATGGAAGATATGACCTGCTGAACTACATATCGTTGCAGAAAAGGAAATCCGTGCAATTTTAAGGAAAATTGGTTATGATTTGAAAGTGACATATCATTTTTTTAAATGACGTAAAACTTTCTTAAACTGGGTTCTAAAACTACGTTTTGAATATTTGATATTACAGTAAGAACTGTCAACAAACACTATTAGTTACAGTAAACTTAAAAGTCAAAAATAATTTAAAAAAGTCCAACCACATAATTTTAAAATTAAAAAAAAGTTTAAAAATCCAAAAATATGTTTCAAATTTATTGAAAATTGACAGACTTTAAAGTACAGTGAAATCTCTTTAGTATGACCATGAGCAGTGTAACATCCTCTTTATAAAAACAGCTTTCTCACCGCCCCTTCGTAATAGAACCCCTATCAAAAAATACCTGAATAGTGCGACACCCTGGTTAGAAAGACAAGTTTGGACCAGTCCCTTGAGTGTCATACTGAAAAGGTTTGGCTGTGGTACAATTCTTATTTCATCAGAGATCCAAACAAATCTTTTGACTTTTTCTTTTCTGGAGATTTGTCTCCAAAGGCGCTTTGTCGCTGGAAAAAAGATTATTATACATTTAAAATTTTCAAAAACTGATTGTAAAACGTCACCTAATCAATCGAATTGGAAATTTTCAATTTTTTTGCCATTTTTTTGATATTATATTTTACAAAATTTTCCTTACCATACGTTACCCATTTTTTCATTCTCAAAATATAATTTTTCCAAAATTAAAATTTAAACAAAAAATTTTTTTTTTCATTTTTTAAATTTGCACCGTGCAGCATTCCAAGGCATTTTAATATCTATAAAACCCAAAACCAACCAATAATACCCGAATTTCTTAAAGTAAACCTTAATAACTTTAAAATCCCAACTCTTATTAACCCATAAATCCCAATATTATACCAAAATTTAACTCATAACAACTTTACATTTGCTTACCTTAAACGGATTCAATGGAGCTGGAGCAGTAGCATCATTAAAAGTCTGAACATTCGTATCTACAGAAACATTCATCGAGATATCCAAAGACTCTGTAGTGTTATTAACATCAGGCAGGATTGTCGTTCTTCTCTTCAATTCCATTCGTTTTAGTGCTGGAGTTGTTGTTGTTGATGAAGGTGTAGCTCTGTTCTCTTTTTGTGGATTCTCTTTGTAAGTTCTTCCGACTTCTGCGACCTGAAGGTATTTTTATTAAACTTCGTGTTAAGATAGATCAAAATCTTGTTAATGATCCTTTCTACTTTGTGTTAGACCGGTCAAAAAGTAAATAGAACTAACTATTACCCAAAACTTTTACTTTTGGGCCACCAAACCCCCTAAAAGAATATAAACCAAAAAATTTAGGTAACAAAAAACTATAACCCCTAATAAAAACATTATATTAACATACCTTATCACTCAGCACAGTCCTATTCTGCTTAGCAGCAAAGTTACACAGAATCTGAATAGTCTGAAGTTGTCGTGAAAGTTGTGCCATTTCCAATGCTTTCCCTTCTTTGCCGTCCTTCAAAGCCTCACTGAATAACTTGATCATCAATGCTGAATGCTCCTTCAGCAACTTCAACACATCTTGCTCTGAATTCCTGTTGGTATTGGTCAAGAAATCGTTCAACAACAACTCAGCCTCCAATTCTGATTCTTTCTCGTTATCAGAAGTCTGAATCGGAAGCTTTAAGGCTGACACTGTAGTGACTTCAGTCTTCTTCAAGCTCGGATGACTTCTGTTCCTCAAATAAAGGTATCTGAACTGAGGTGAAGGCTGTTCGGTGACATAAATTGGCCAGATGTTATCATCAATATCCTTTAGTTCGTCTGCACCATTAAACACAGGTATCCAGAGATTGGTTTCGTTCAAAACTCTCACCATAAAAAGAGAATCCATAGTGACCAGATGCCCCTTGTTTGTAAAGGATATCCATGACAGTTCAGAATCAAAACTCGTAGCAATCTGAACCTTGTTCCTCCTTGATATCACATTACTCTTGAACACGTTTACATCCATAATCTCTACATTATATTGATATTCTTCATTATCCCCATCTTCCAACAATGAACTTGTCGTAATCACAGCTATCTGCTTCTGACTAGCCACAACAGCATGCACATGGTTAGCTACAGACATCACCAGACGTTGAACACCATTCAAACTGTAGATGCGAAGAAACCTCATGTCAGTGTAGACAGCCACAAAGTCTTGCCCACATACACAAGCCTTGATCACTTCCTTTTCTGGCATAACTTTGGTCCAAACTCTAGATTCCCGATTCCATGCTGTAACGTTACGGACGTAGAGCACACTTTGCTTGTCCTCGTTCTTTTTAGAAGCCAAAACTACAGTGGTTGCATTCATATCAGCCAGACAATAGTTGGAGTTAAAGTTGTCTTCAGCAAAGTCTTCAGAAACTGACGCGTCATTGAAATTTACCTAAAGCAATATAATTAGTTCAGGAAAAATGTAAAGTATTACCTAAAATATTACTTTACAAAGTTGAATGCTTCATACTTCCCAAAATTAATTAAAACTTTGTAATTTACAAGCTGCTTTGAGCTTTTAACAAAAAAGCAAAAATATTTCAAAAAAGTAGGCTATGATATAATTACTGTAACTTAAAAATTTTTCAAACAACTTTATACTAATTAATTGACTAAATAAACAAGCTAAAACAACTTTATACTAATTAATTGACTAAATAAACAAGCTAAAACAACTTTATACTAATTAATTGACTAAATAAACAAGCTAATTACTAAAAGTTTCAAGCTTTAACTATTTTTAAAAAAAATTTATAATCAAAACATGTGAATATAGAGCCTTAGCCAAAACTTTGAAGATAAACAATACATTTTTGAGCTAATAACTATACAATTAGCTTTCACAAGCCTTTCAGCAAATTATACATTCAATTCACTATCTTTCAATCATTAAACCTCATCTTCAAACCCTAAAAACATAACAAAAACAAAAAAAATCAACTTACCTCCACACAATTATCGTCGTCATTCTCAATGGCCACAATCTTGCCAAATCTATTCCAAACCAAACACTTTTGACCATCTTTAGCATCAAACTGGCCAGGATGTAAAAGTTTTGGCAGTTTTCTTCCTTTCGGTTCTTCTGGGACAGTTGGTTGAGCAAAAGGAACTATAGGTTCAATAAAAGGCTCAATAATGGGCTCATCAACAGGTTCATCGACTATGTCCAGATCAGGATTGTTGATCCTGTCGTCGTCGAATTCTTCATCCGAATCTATACGCATTTTGGGTTATATAAAGTTAGTAGAATTGAGAGAAGGTTAATAAAAAAGATTTTTTGAGAATATTTTAGTTTGAACGGAAAAATGGCGCAAAAATTCTTTTCTTTTCGTGGGTCCCGAAGCGAAGACTTTGTTTGTTGTTTTTGACTTTTAAACTTGAAATTTTATTATCAGTTTGGTTTTGTAAGATCATGTTCGCTGTATTTTATCATATTTATGAGTAATACCTATTTTACTATGAAATAAATGACTCATTCAAAGTAAAAGGCATAACATACCTCATACTTCCTCAACTTCAAACCAGTAAAAACACAAACTTTTGTACTTTATCACGCAAATAATTATCGTTCTCTCTTCAGTATACGTGTTTTTAGTTTATAGCAGCCATTATCACCGTTGATAATCGTTCAAGATCTTTAAAAATAAAAAACCAACGTTCCAATGTTATCATGAACAAAGATTTTAATAATTACGTTTTATCGAATAATTCTTATCAATGTTACTTTTAAGGAATGATTTAGTAGCGTAAAAGGACACAAAATTCAATATCTGAGTTAAGAAATCAACTTCGTGACGTCGGTGGTGTAGGTAATGTACGATAAGAAAGGTTTCAGCGCATGATTTGCCTCATGAGATCAGCTACGACTAAACATTACAAAAGTTGATGTTTGGACTAAAGTTTTAATATCTAAACTACCATTTTTAATTACAAGTGGCATAACATACAAGACTTGTGATAAGGCTGTGGTTGGTTTTGATGTTTGAAACAATTAAAGCCATATCTTGTTGTACATGATCACGTGGTGGTTTTTTTACGATGATTTTTAAAGAAAACTATCAGCATGACGAAATTTGTTGATAACTCCTCAAATACTAAAGATTAAGCCAAATAAAGTGCAAGCTACTGTGGAAATTTTATTTTTCAAAAACAAATTTTTTTCAAAAAATATTATTTGCAAAATAATACAACAAAAATGAACTTGAAACAAAAAAGTTGAATTTAATTTGATCAACCTTTGTTAACTTGCGGTTACTGGGCATTTTTAGAGCTACTATTATAGTAAAGTTTATCATAGCATTATTATAAAAATACAGTGGAGCTCCTGTACATCGAAAAAATGCTCTATAACAAAACTCTCCTACAATGAACAACTTTTAAATTCCTAAACGATTCTGTATACAAGAGTTCTATTGTAGTTGCATCTAAAAAACGGTCGACAAAAAAGTTTTCTCCGGTAGATGCTAATTCCTCAAATAAAGCGGAGACAAAACAATTTTTTTTCATAGTGTCATAGGCAACCTGATATGATCTAGAACTTGTTTGAAGGTACGGGCTAAAAAAATTGGTACAGTTACCTTAGTTACAATACCAATTTTTACAGGAAGATTATGTTTAACATTTTTCAGGCAGTTTTACTGTGGAAACGTTCTGCTTTCCGTATCAGCCATAGCCGAAAGGTCGAGAGTTCTTTCTGAAAATGAAAAGAATGTTTTTAAAGGGTATTGAATCTAGGTTAACCTGGCCTTTTCTGTTGATTAAAAAATTTTTAAAAATTTAGGCATTGAATGTGTAGCATTTATAAATTAACAAAAAGGTTACTTTCAACACTATTTTTTATTTTTTATTGAAGGATTCACAGAATTGTAGCTGTTTTTTACATGTTCACTAAAAATAACGTATAACCATAGTTCAAGCTGATTTTTGAGTGAATTGGTACTCCATCACTCACTTACTCCTACACCAATCATTTTTCAATCTTTAAAACCGGTTTTACAGTCTTACTCAAAGATTACTGTTTGAAAAGTAATCTTTAACCTTATCAGTTCAACATTGTACATGTCATCAAGCCTTGTTTACTATACCAAAAAGGTGTGTGGGGTATACTAGGGTTTCAAAACTTTTTTGCCAGCTCCTATTATCACATGCCACTGATAAGCCAATTGTTTTCCCAGACTCTATTTTCGGTTTGCGATTGGAATCAGCGACCTCAAGGCGTTTTGCCTTAAAAGACGCCCCCCTCCCCTTCACCCGTTCCTACCCGCCCTATCACTCTTTTCACTCACTTAATTTTTAATTTTCTCACCGTTCCGTGAGCAATTAAAAGGTTTTGAATAGGAGGTTTGTATCTTATCATTGAGTTATGCCTTCAGAAGCCGATAAACGCTATGGGTTACAGAGTAAACAGGAATACAAGAGGTTTACTGACGACGAGCATGATCAGAAGGGGAGCGCTAGTATATTGGTAAATTTTTGATGATTTTGGGATTTTAGGTAACAATTTTTAAAAATTTAGTTTTTATGTAACAATTTTTTAAAGTTAGTAAGCAAGGAATCGTATAAAGGGCGTGGGTATGGCAAAAAAATCTTTTTTCTAGGGCTGAGGAAGAAAAAAAAATAGAAAGAGGTTCAGAGTACAACATCAATGTTTATGTCAGCAAATTTGTTTACAACCTCTAAATTAACTAAAAACTGATTTTTATCTTTCAACTTTGGTTTATCAAAACAAAATGTTTTTGCCTATGATAATATATTTAGTTGTTCAAATTATTTTGAGCTACTAGCCCCAAAAATTTGCTTCGAGTTGTGGCTCAGAATTATTTGAACAACTTAATAACGTAACTTTGATTTTACAACCATATGTATCATCAAAACATTATAAATCATCATTTTAGGCAATACCTATATTAAAAACTAATATTTTAGGTAATAAATGTACTAAAAAATTGAAGCAATACCCATACTAAAACACAAAATTTTAGGCAATAACCCTACTAATAGTGATAGTATCAGCCCTGGTAGCCTATCATGACAAATGGAAAACGGAGCAGATACCTGAACCTTGTCCGCAGTACGATGACACTCAAACAGAGCAATGCTACTACACTTGTAGTATAGAACTGGTAGAGACTGTACCACAGAATTTGACAGTGTCATCTGACAGAGTAAAGTCGACATTCGACGCTTGGAATGAGTTGATTAGTGAAAGTAAAAACTCATTGGATATAGCTGCTTATAAGTCAAGTTTGAGAGGAAAACACGTACTTGGAGTGTTGACACAGGACTTTTCTGTTGAGGTAAGAGAGTGGATATTGTAGTAGAAGTGTTTTTACTCTGCTTTACTTTCTCTTAACTTACCTTATCTGACCATGCTTTATCCTACATTGTCTTGCTTTGTCTTGTCTTTTCTTGCCTTGCCTTGCCTTGCCTTGCCTTGCCTTGCCTTGCCTTGCCTTGCCTTGCCTTGCCTTGCCTTGCCTTGCCTTGCCTTGCCTTGCCTTGCCTTGCCTTGCCTTGCCTTGCCTTGCCCTGCCCTGCCCTGCCCTGCCCTGCCCTGCCCTGCCCTGCCCTGCCCTGCCCTGCCCTGCCCTGCCCTGTCCTACCGTACCCTACTTTATATTATTCTATATTCTGTAACCTACCTTACCGTACCTTGCCCTACTCTACTTTATCTTATTCTATCTTATTGTACCACCCTACCCTATCTTTTCCATACCCTTGCTGGGACTCCTGGTTTCATATATTATTTATAACCTCAACTCTACCCTGCCCTCCAAAACCAATTTTTAAATTTATTTCTTAATTTTACACGTCTTTATCTTTCAAAAAACCCTACTTTTCTAAAATTAACTATTTTTCAGGGTGACCTAATCTTCGAAGAACTAAAACACGCAGGCAATCGCAATGTCAATATCAAAATCGTCGAAAACGCTCCATCCAAAGACAAAGGCGACAATGAAGATGCCAGAAGTCTTCACAAATCCGGTGTAGCTGCGCTACGAAAACTGAATCTTCAACGTCTATACAATTCTGGCACGATGCACTCCAAATTCTTGATTTCCGACGAAAAAAGTTTTTATTTGGGATCAGCCAACCTGGACTGGCGATCGTTAAGTCAGAAGATGGAGATGGGAGTATTGGTTAAGGATTGTCCTTGTTTGGCCAAAGAGCTGAGACATTCCTTCGAACAGTATTGGCTAGCCGCCAACGTTGAGAGTGTCAGTGGAATGAAGAAGGCGATCAAGCGACCTTCTCCTCACATCTACAACATGAAGAAGCCGTTGAAAATACAGTATGATGGAGCCGATTCTGAGGTTTATATCGCGGTAAGTTTTGGAGTATAAAAAATATTGTTGTTTTAAGGAATCAGGACGTTTTTGGTTAAAAACACAACCCGATATTGTGATTAATATAGCTAGAGTTACGTTTATCAGCCATTTTTTGCCTTAAAAACCAACTTTATACGATTATATTGCACGTTTACTAAAACCATAGCCTACTTTAATACCGTAAAATGAAAAATCATTAATTTTTACCCTTTCATCTCTAACCCAATTTATATTGTTCCAGACCTCCCCAAAACTAATGAACGCCCCAGAACGAACCTGGGACCTAGACGCCCTGGTCGCGACCATTGACAACGCCAAAACTCGTGTTCATATCCATGTGATGGACTACTTTCCAATGTTCCTCTACTCCAATAACAACCAGTTTTGGCCGGTTTTAGACAACGCCCTTAGGGCAGCCGTGATTCGAGGAGTTGATGTTAAGATCATCGCTGCTGCTTTACACTTTCCGAAACGAGGACTGCGGTTTTTGAAAAGCTTGGAACTGATGAATGAGGTTGGGAAGGGAAAAGTGCAAATTAGGATATTCAAAGTGCCTACACCAGCTCATATGCAAAGTGTGATACGAAGGGAAAGGAGGACGCACAAGAAGTTTGTTGTCACGGATGATAGTGTTGTTGTTGGTAAGTGTAAATATCAAAATCAGATGCCAAAAAGACTTGAGAAACTTATTCCCAACAAATTTTATCCAATATCATCCAATAACCATTTGAAAACCCTTTTTTTCACTAAAAACCCAAATTTTAGGCACCTCAAACTGGTCAGGAGACTACTTCGAAGGCTACGGAACTGGAGCTGCCATTGTGATAAAACAGCGAGTTGGAAATCAACCAATGGTCGATAAAATGCGTCGCATCTTCAATCGGGATTGGAACAGTGAAGCCGCGCATCCTCTACATGAATATGTCAGTGGGTGTATTGATAAGACGGCCAAAGTCGACTTTTGTGAATACGAAAAGGACAAATCGTTGTTGATCGAGTCGTAGATTGTTGTTGTATTTGTTTGTACATATCGAACACTGTATATACAATACAGTTTTACTTTTTAGACGTAGGTATTGCTTCTAGATTTGTGAAATACTGGTTTAAACTACAAAAATCAGTTAAAAAATCTTAAGAATAACAGCTTTGATATTGCTACAGGCCATTTTAGATGAATTTTAAACGCTTTCCTGACTTTTAAACCTATTTTAGTTCGTTTCAAATCCCTGCTTTATAAATATATTACTTTTAATTAAAAATACCGGCATAAATAATGTTCAAAAGCGAGTACAATTGGCATAACATCAATTAAAAATAGCTTTGATAGAAAGAATAGCTCAAATAAAGTAATATAACTTAATTTTCAACATTTCTCTAAAAAAGTTCATAAAATAATGTTATCTTTACCCAGAATCCATATTAAAACACGTGTCGTTGTACTTGATCTCTCGTGTTGGCCTTGTGATCGTCAGGCATTGGTCGAGCTTCGTATGTTGCAATCGCAACTTTTTCTCTGAATCCATGTTGAAACGATCCTCTTAATCCAATGTAGTAAATTCTGGTCTGTTCTGCTCCAAAATTTTTTGGAAAATGTAGAGTTAAGTAGTAGATGTTAGAAAACTTGGTACTGATCAATGGGTAATCAACTCTTCCTTCCGTGTCTACTTTTAGTTCAACTTCTTGGTCGGGTTTTCCGGCTGTCACGTCTTCAAATGACATCTGAAAACAATAAAATACAATTTTCAGTCGTTTAACACCTTTTATCTTTCCATAAAGTTCATTTAAATATTTTTAAAAATATTAAAAATTTAAAAATTTGAGTAATGGCAAAATAACTTTAACTTCAATACTAAAGCGAAATTAAAAAATTTCTTTATAGCATTAGTTAAACAATTAAATAATCCAGAATGCCACAAAGTTTCAAATTTCTAGCTATCTTTTGAAGAAAGTTATGATCAAAATAAAAAACCGTGTGAATATTTATTTATTATCCTCTCGTTACCTAAAACCATAAAAACTAAACAAAAAACCTACATTTTCTCTATCTTTAAAAATTCTCAATCGTGCTGGATGCATTTCTCCATCTTCTCCAATCAAAACGATACCCGTTAGCTTCACATGACCAGTAAAAGGCAAGTTGAACAATAGCTCTTCATCAACATCACTGGTAACTGATTTAGTCCTGAAACAACATCAAGCAATACTTCTAAAACAACAAATATACAATAAAACATATTCAACTTACTTGTCAAACCTTTCACTCCAAACTTTCAGCACCTGAACGCCAGAACCTTCCTCTTCCTCGTTCAAGACGTTCACCTTGTCCTTGTCTATAAAACCAGCCATATTATACTGTGCTTCAGCGTCTGCCGTCTCTACTACAACTGCTTGTGATCCACAATCACTGTGGCTATGTCCGTGATCACACATGTTACGTTTACTTGTGGTTTTACAAATTTATCATCGAAAAATAAAAAAAATCCGAGAATTATTTAAAAAAGGGCGCACGCTGGGAAGGAAGAGTGCAGGTCGCAGGAACGTTAGACGCGATTGTGGAACGTTGAGAAGTAACATTATTATAGCTAGATGTTTAAAAATTTTAATATTTTTACCATTAACTCAAAATTATATTATTCATTAGTCTAACTTTTAAAAATAAATAATAATATTATTTTTATTTGATATTTAAACATTAATCCTGATTTATAAGGTTATAACATTCATTTTTAAACTCATTACAAATTGAAAAAGCAAACTATACAGTTATATAACTATAATTTACTTTTCTACATCATCATACAACCAAAGTAAAACTATATACAAATTTATCGACCAATAAATATAAAGTGATTCATAAGAGATACCATAATATAAACTATTTAGTCGGAATAAGGATTATATCAACATTTTAATAAGAAAAAGACACATTTTAAGATAGAAATATAAAATCAAAATTACATTAAAGTACTATAATATTATAATAGCTTTATGATACCAAAGCTCTTGATAACACCAATATAAAATATTTTATACAAAAGTTTTATGAAGTAAAACAATATAACTATAACCACATTAAGATGTAACACTACTAAATAACCCGTAATAATCAAAAGAATTCTCTTGTGGCATCACTTCCTCCTTATTCTGATTGTCATCCTTATCACTTTGCTCTTTGTCTTTGCCATTTTGACCCTTCTCCTTCTTCGGACTCTTTTTATGAACAAATTGGCCATCCTTAAACACGTATCCTAATAGTTGTAGATGACGAATTACTGTGGATTTTGCCACATTCAATTGAGCTGCCAGTTCTCGCGTTGTTTGCCTTGGATTCGCTTCGACAGCATTAACCAAAGCTTCATTCTCGAATCCACGCTTTCTACCCGACCTTGGTTGATCCTCCAGTTCGGCTACAGTACGGCCTTTAGAAAACTGGCTATACCACGACTTTACCGTCTTGTAGCAGGTAATCCCTTCGCCCAACGTCTCACAAATCTCTTTGGCCGTTTGAGCAGCCGGCACTTTCCTCAAGTAATGGTAGTAGATGATTGTCCTCAGCTGATCCCTTTTCACTCCATAAAGATTAACACTTTTTGGTGTAGTTGGTATTGTAAAAGCTGTACCCAATGTTGATGATGTTACTGGTGTTGAGGCTGTAATTAAAGCTGTAGCTGAAGATGAAGACACAGGATCAAGTGAATTAAACAAGATTTGTTCAAGTGTGGGATCCGCTTGTGAATGTTGTGCCACTTCTTGTAGCTGATCAGATTCGAGGTGCTCTTCTGTCTCTGGATGTTGTTCGGAATGTTGCTCTTCAGCTAATAATGGTTCAGATGAGGAATGAGGACCATTTTCTAGAGCTTCTTCCTGGGGTTTGAAACTAAAACCCAAAATTTTAAAACCCTCAAGGTTTACGCACTTCAGACCCTCCAATAAACTTGAAAAAATCTCGTTTGAATCTCCTAAAAACCAAAACAATAACAAATAAAACTTACGCCGCAGCTAATTGCTCCAATATATCCATTTTGCCACCTTATCCAAGGTTCTCCAGATATCTTCTTTGAAGTACAATCAAGAACGACCAAATCTTATAAAAATCAAGTATACTTTTCACCAATCAAATCCAATGTTCCAATTCTATAACAACCATTTCAGAGATTTTCATGAAATTGTTTTTAATTTGGACGCAGCTCGCATAAATACACTGCGCAGGTTGCGGAAAAATAAATAAGTAAAATACTTGATATATGATGTTACTAGGTAAGAAAAAGTTATTTTAAATGTGTATTTAATATTATAGGCTGGTAAAGATTATTACAGCAAAAACAATTATCTTAACACCTATTACATGGACATGATTAGTTGGTCACACAACGAAAACAAGTACTTGCCAATTATGAAGGAAAAATATTTGGCTTTGCGAATTATTTATCAAAAAATATTGTTTGTAATATTTTTACGACATTTAAAGCGTCCGTTGTGTTTGTTTTGCCCGAATTAAGATTCAATATACTCTAAAATGTATTATGTTGTTTAATTTCTTATTGAGTTGTCCGTTTTTAGATCTCTAACCGCTATAATGGACAAGCCGCCGCCCAAAACATGCTTGGAACAACTTCACACCGAAAAAACGGCCGATGGGCGGCCAATATGGGCACCAAAACCAAATCAAACACGGGAATTTAACAATGAAGATCTTGCTTATTTGGCGAAAATCAAAGCTCTAACTCAGTTTTCGGATAAAATTCAAAAAGTAAGTTGTTATACTTGGTTGTATTGGTTTTTAGAAGAACATGAAACTGCGGTACCGATTGAACGCTGTTTCGAAGGAAATTAAGTTGATGAAAAGGATAAAAAGGTCAGTTCTTGAATTATTTGTATAGGAGAAAGATTTTTACAAAGTTTTGTTCAAGTTGAGATTGAAATTGCTTGTTTTAGGTAACACTATCATTGTTTTTGCAATTTTCGGGTTTAACTTTATTTTTTAATATTACATAGCACTAAGAATTCTTACTAAGTAACATAGCTTTGTTGGTATTTTTTAGTAACTTTGATTTGAAACTAGAACTAATCGAAGCTAATGTTGTAGTAGGTAACGAAACTTTAAATTTTAGGTTTTTATGTGAAAAGATGTTAGAAATGGATGAAAATATACATGACGAACGTATAGACTTTGATGAAAATGATAATGAACAACAAATCGACGAAACTATATCAGAAGTTGTTACGATGGTAATGCAGAATCCGACTTTGGTGGAGATGAACATGAAGAAGAAAAAACTGGCTGAATTGAAGCGCCGGGAACGTGAAGTAGGTTTTTAATTATTTTTGGACAGCTTGTACTTTTGTTGATATTTATAACTGTTTTTTATGAATTTATTTTGTACTTTTAGAGTTTGGCAGCGACTGTAATGAACCTAGAAGAAGATGATGTAGACAAGTCTCGTCAACACATCATTTCAATAATTGAGAGTGTGGCAAGTGAAGGTATACATGAAGAAAAGAGAAAGATAAAGGTGCCCAAGTCGGTGGTTTCTATTCCAGCACCACAGAAACCTACTACGAGCTATGTAAGTTGTTTTAGGTAACAGTCAATGGAATTTTGAACATTATTTGAATTTTTAAGTTAGTAACATTAGGTTAAGGTCTTAAATGAATGGTTTTTAAATTTCAGAATTCAAAAGAGTTGGAAGAACGTCTGGAAAAGCCTCCAGGTGTGTTTCGTCTGAACTACAATGGCTTCAAGGATATTGATGGACCTCAGAACTATGATGCCCTATCCACACCATTAAGAGAAGTCCTAAAGATAGCTCAAGGAAGAAAGCCGGATCATGGGGGAGTAACAGATGCTTGGCTGGCTTTGATACAGACTTCTTCCATGTCACCTAAAACTTCTTCTTTATCTTCACCTACTACAGCTAGGAGTAGATTGTCTACATTCACCTCGATCTCATCCACAACACCTTCAGAACAGACAATGGAGGTGGATGTACATAAGAAATAACTTATTCTTAATTTATTTGATTTTTATATTGATATTAATAATGTGTTTTAAGGCTTTATATTAAGGATTTAACTAATATTTTACTGTGATTTTGGTCTTATATGATTATTTTAAGTATAGTTGATTGTAAATAGTGTAATATGTTTTTTAGCTTTATTTTAATATTTGTAGCTGTATAATTTTGTTGTTGATGATACAAACATATTTACTTTGCTGTATCATAGTTCTTGATCGTGCTATAATCTTTTTAGTGGCACAATAGTAATCTTATGTTAATAACAACATGCTATCATCAATAACAAGCAATTCTTTGCCATTAATGTTAATATATTTGTATGTCCTGAATAAAACTAACGTTATTTTGTGAAAACAAGGCATTTGTTTGTTGACAAGTTACAATCCCAATCACTACCTATCTATGATTGATTACTGTTCCACAGAGTAATAGTAATGTTTCTACAAGCAGTTCGATCCACCTTCAATCAAGTCAGAAGCATGAAGATTGTGGCGGAAACAGCATTGGCCGACAACTACATGTACTATGTGATCGATGACAGAACGAGGAAGGGATTTGTGGTTGACTTGGGGGATGTTTCAAAGGTATGTTGGGGGGAATGAGTAAAAGATAAGAGGGGGGGGAATATTACTCTGGCCGATTTTTGTATTATCTTAGGGTTGCGGTTTTTTGTTCTATCCTACTATACCTTACCCTACTCGCCTTATTCTACCCTGCCTTACCTTATCCTACCCTGACCTGCTCTACAGTACTAATACCCAACCCAAGCCACATAAAACAAAAAAAATATTTTAGGTATCAGAAGTCGAGCGACGAGAAGAATTCACTCTAACGGCCGCTTTTGTCACTCATCATCATTGGGACCACGCTCAAGGTGCACCCGACCTTCGTAAACAATATCCAGATATCAAGATCTATGCTGGCGATCCGGACAGAATCCACTTGACAAAAGCTGTAAAAGACAATGATGTCATCGAGTTTGGACAACTTGAAATCAGAGTTATTGGCACACCAGGACACACGACATCACATGTCTGTTACTACGTTCAAGATACGATGACTGGAAAGAAGGCGTTGTTTACTGGAGATACCATCTTCTTGGCTGGATGTGGCAAGTTCTTCGAATGCCCTGGATCAGTCATGTATGATACGATCTACAATAAGTTGATGAATATTGTGGCTGATGATACTGTAGGTTGTAGGGACTTTAAAATGGATGGAACTTTCTTTACAGAGCAAATAATAGCAATAACTTTCTATACAAAACAAGAAATGGCAAGAACTTTCTTTACAGAACAAGAAATGGCAATAACTTTCTGTACAGAACAAGAAATGGCAAGAACTTTCTATACAAGACAAGAAATGGCAAGAACTTTCTTTACAGAACAAATAATAGCCAGAACTTTCTATACAAAACAAGAAATGGCAAGAACTTTCTTTACAGGTCAAAAAATGGCTAGAATTTTCTTTACCAAACATAAAATGGCAAAAACTTTCTTTAAAAGTAAGGAATAATGTTTTCCTTTAGGACATGTACTTTGGCCACGAATACAGCTTGACAAACCTGAAGTTTGCCAAAGAAGTTGAGCCGATGAACGCCAGAGTATCAGAGAAGTATGACAATGTCAAAACTCAACTCAACTCTGGAAAATACAGTACACCATCGTTATGGGGAGACGAAAAACTTTACAATCCGTTCTTGAGAGTAAAGTAAGTCCATACCAACATTGCTATTATCTTTAAAACTTTTTAAATTTTTTGTTAAATGCTGAAACGATCATTTTTAAGTTGAACACGCTTTAAATCATTTAAAAATGTCGTTATTAGCTTGTGATGATTGAAACATACAGTAGAAAGCTATAAATTAGAATAAAAGTTACAGTATGCATCTAATAATGTCATTTCTTCTTCAGTGAAACGTCAGTAAAAGAGTATTGTCAAGCTGAAGATCCAGTACAAGTACTAGACAAACTAAGATCGAAGAAGAACAATTTCCGAGGATAAACTGTCATTATATGACTATATTCATTACTATATGACTACTATGTTCATATTGGCATGTAAATTTTGACCATATTTTGATTACTGTAGTTTTTCGCTGCACAGTGCCAATAAATTAAACTGTATTAAATTTTGAGTCAACAGTGCCATTTTCAAAAATATCTTTAAATTTTCATCTTCTATCAATCCCATCAGAAATAAATAAAAAATCCTCTTAAGTCACTGATATAAACATATTTATACTTATAAATTACACTATGATATAAATATCTGAATTAGCGTGCTAAAACTCAATGACAATATAAGATTTGACCTAATGTAGATATGTTGAAAAGTTGAAAGGGTTGTAGCAACCTCATACGTGTTGCGTCTTCTTGATGCCTAGGAAGTATTCAGCCACTCCGATATAGTAGACGGTTTGGGCGATGCCAAACAGTGGTGCCATCACCATCATACGAAGGGCGGCGCCTTTGAACAAGGCTTTCGGACCTTCTTCTTTTAGGATCTTACTGTAATTTTTGTTTTTTAAAATAAAAAAAAACTTACACAAAAGCATCAGCGATTCCATTATAAGTTGTCGAACCTTTGGCACTGTTAATCAACTGAATTCTCGTCTTGATAACTAAAAATTGACATTTTACTACACTACCCATTATTTTTAGGTACTTCCTATTTCTAAGCTTGCCCTACCCTACCTGAGATTATCAAAAACATAAAGTTAAAACAAAAATTTAAATTCGTCCTATATCAGTGATAAAATCTCTGAAAATTCATTTGAAAACCGGTTCAATTAACAACAATAACCGACGTTTGAATAAATAACAATATCTCTAGCTTCAGTCTACCCCCATATCATACTTAACACAACTTACCATCCAAAGGCGTTACAGATAGCGACCCCACAGCTCCGGCTACAATACCAGCTAGGAAAGACCCATAGAACACTGCTCCTCCACTCCCATCGTTCTTTCGTGGTGCTAGAGAATCCAATTGAGCAAATAGAGGGAAGTATATCATTGAAAATGTCACATCTCTAGCCATTGTTGGGCCGATTCCTCGATACAGACCGGCTATACCTTTCTCTTTGAACAAGGACAGAGCCAGCTGTGTTGCACTCAACTTCGTGCCGTGGGCTTCTGAAATCGGATTTAAGTTTACTTTAAGTTTTATCAGTAAGTTTAGAATAGTTTCTGAGCCTAAGAAATGAGATATACAATGTTATAAGCTTAAAATTCAACAAAAATATAAAAAAACCTACGTTGAAGCTGAATTTTAAGTAATTCCATAGGTGTGGTAACGATAATTTGACACAACCCAGCTAATCCACCAGCGATCATACCTCGGAACGGTGGCAGCATCCTAAACTCATAAACATTATTATCAACTTTACTAATTTTAGTTTGATTAACGCGATTTATCTCTACTACAACATTTTAGTCAAACTTTAATCAAAAGCTTGAAAAGTTATGACTTTCATTTAAAAAATGTTAAGCTAAGCTCACTGTAGCATGATCCTGACTTTAAGTCGTTATTTCACTCCCTTTCACTTACTTTTCTCCAGGCACAGCCAGTTGATACCTAAAGAAGTCGTTAGCCACTAACTTGATCGCTTTCTCTGGTGTGATCAACAATATATTCACCCCAGATCCAGAATAAATCGCTCTCAAACCTCCACTTCGCCATGTTTTCTTAGCACAATCAAATCTAAACTTAAAATATTCAAAAAAACAAAGAAAAACTTACAATCCATTATATTGTAGTGGTTGGCCTTTAATCGACCGTTGGTTCTGCAGCCTGGTCTTGACTAAATCCATGGGAAAGACACATGTCACTCCAACAATACCCGCAAAGCCACCATTAAGAATTTTGGGAAGATACCTAAATATAAAAGTAAGTTTAGTTTAAGTTTATACCTTTCATTCTATATTATTCATAATAACTTACGAAAACTCCTGCTTATTACTCGTCATGGCGCCAAAACCCACTTAGGAGTCTAAAAGCAACCTTTGAATACAAATATATTAGGTTATATTTTGCAACTTGGCTCACACGAAATCAACAAGGCAATAAAGACCAAACAAATGTTACACTAGATAATTCTTGATGAATTTGGCTAACAAAACAAATGTGACGTTTGTGAAAACAAGTGATAAGAAAGATAAAAGTCTGCCACGTGATAAGAACCTCCTGGCCACTTGGAACGTCAACAAGAAAACAATTTTTTAGACCTTCAAACATGTTACACACCACTTGAGTTTGCCACTTCAAAAAATCCTTATTTTAACGCCCATTTAAAACCCAATATGTCCTTAAATATTCAAGTAGCTTCATTAAGATCCAAAGTAGAAGTCTCAAAGATAACCTTTAGAAGCAGCGTTCGAACGCGTTCCGTCTTTAAAATATTACGTTATCCATGGCCGAGCAAACACAACCATTACAAAATTAAAAAAAAGTAAACCAAAGCTAGTAAACCTAACTTTAAAACAACAAAACAATCAAAGATTAAAAGAGAGACTACTTTGTAACAACAAATTGTAAAGAAACCCCGATTTTTCTAAAAATAAAAATGAAACATTTTTGGCCGCGCACCTTTCTGCGTATAAAATGATCTTCGCAAGCTGCGCAAGTAAGTAACTCAAGTTGTAATATTTGAATTCGAATGAAAATATAGATACCAAATACGAATATCATATGAATTAAGTGCTTGACATTTTATCTAAATAAAAATCTGCACTTTTAAAAGTTTTTCTGTAATATTAGGGTTTTAAGGAATAATTTTGCTCTATCATAAAGCCATATCAATATATAAAATCCAAAGTTAATGGAAATAAGTTACTTTATCAATAAGTTAACAATAAATTACGCATTATCACAACCCGGGTTAAATTATTCTTGATATGTAGTATCACAAGGTTTTCATAATCTTCATAGTGGAGTATATCGTATCTTCTGTAGTGCATACGAAAGAATTGTCTGTATAACAATGCTAGTTGCAAAAACACCGCCAATAACTGAGCACAAGCGTAGTAAGAGCGGGATTAAGCCCCTGAAAGAGTTGATTAGACCAGTCCATGGTTAATATAAAGTTTTAGTGAAATAGTCACAGTCAGCAGTCGTTTACAAATTAAAAAAAAATAAAAATATTTTTCGCAGTAAAATAGTCCTTACATTCGTGTTGGATACACATCAATGACGTTTCCAGCGAATTCGTAGACGAATGTTATTCCACTTCCAATATGTCCTGAATCATGTGGATCTCGTTGCATCGAAGTAACTGAATACTGATATGTAACTGAGGATTTTCCCAGCAGTCCATAAATTCTGGTAGGCACCACTTTCACAAAATATTTGTACATTGTCGCACCTAAAAGGGATATATTATCATTCTCTTTATCATAATTCACGCACTCTTTATCATTTTTAGTACAAAAGCTTAGCCCCATTTACAACATAACCAATGTAAATTTACTTCAAACTGAACTCAAAAAAATATAAAAAGGCTCTTACCAGACGTGGATATCTTCTCAGTACCAGCTAGTGGCGTAACCAAGCCCCAGATGTGGTCCCCAAAGTGAAATCGTTCAATTCTGTGAGAAAAGTTTGATTTCGAGTTATCTCCAAATTCACCAACAAAAGCACCAAAATCAATGACATTTGACGAGGATATGACAATCCTATCATCATCACCTTTTAGCACAGGTATTTTCCCAACTAACCGGCAAGCATGACCTTCGTTGGCTCCTCCGTTTGCTGGAAATATTACGTTAAACACAGTTAGGTTTTTCAAAAAAGAAATTTAACAATTGTGGATGTTTAGATGAATATAAAGCAAATTTTAAAGTTTATACTCAATAACCTTATGATTATAAACTTAGAGAGCTTGCCTAAATGTGAAAGAACAATATAACAACTAACTTACCAGAAATAAGCTGGAACATCCCCATGCCATTGCCAATCATCATCACGACATGACCAGACTCTTGTCCCTTGTTGCCATTAGCTTTCCTTTGCTTTTTAATGTCAATCTCCTCTTCTTTAACCTTGTCTTTGGCTATATCTCGTAAGCCAGCTTCTACACTACTGCTTACGTATGACATCTATAAAATTTTAATTAACATACGCTTTTAAAGTGAATTTAGACGCTTTTTAAATGTTTCACCAACATTAATGGCAAGTATGTATAATACAAAGCCTTGAATATACTAACATCTCCAAGTGCTTTCAATTTTGTGCCCGGTTTAAACTGTTCTTTATGAGCTGACTGAAGTATACTCCACAACTTTTGTTCATTTGTATCCATCTCAAACCGACTAGGCTCCTTTCTAATCCCATCTTCTGGAGTTTTCTTGTGTGCACTACTGTGACTAACAACCATAACATTCAGACCTCCACATGGCGTATTTACAATAATGTCCAAGTCCAAATTGGGCCTTCTAAACTTGCAAACATCATACAAAACAAGGAAGCAAACTTACTCGTCGAAATTCGTGTCAACCGAGAATTTATATTCCACATCATCATCAAAGTAGTATTCGTAACATTGCAAAGCACATAACACAAAGATTAAGATAAATGAGCAAACAGTAACTAAAAATAAATTAATGTAATATAGATAAGAACTTACTTATGCCATTTGTCGCAGTTTTCTCCTCTTGAACGGACTCCACGACCTTGTTAAAGGCATCAAAAGACTTAATCGTCTCATCAACAGTGAACTTCTTCCTTTGTCGAAGTCCGGAATCCGGTAACTGGTCCATTACACGCTGTAAGGATCTATACTGACTCCATGAACATGTGAAACATTAGAAACATAAAAGATTTAGCACAAAATTAATTTTACGGCGACATTTTATACGACGAAACCTTTCAAAAACCGTTTTTTCTTTGAAAAAATTGAATTTGTGGCTTCAGAAGCGCCTAATTTATGCAGTTTTTGATGTGTATAGTCAATATAAATGTGTCCCAACATGAAAAATTTAATATTTATTAGTTTAACAATTGATTTGACCATAAATGATACGTTTATAACGTGGAAACAAGTGAAATAAGTTAGGATAACAAGGTTTTTCGTTGAAATAAGGTGAAGGAGACCTTATAAAGTATTACTATACTGTTTGGAAGACTTAATTTCAACAGATACTGTTTCATTTGTATATAAAGAGATTACAAATTATAGAATTTTGGACTTTAAGTCACCTATGTTGTTTTAGATGCGATGACAATATCTGCTAATATATTATGCTTAACAATGATTAAAATGGTAGAATAATGTTTAAAAGTGTGTGGTTGGATTATATGAATGAGAAAATGATTATGTTCACCAGTATAATACAATAATGACTTTAGAGTCCATCTTTGGACAAGCCTACCATACCCGCGCCAATCAATGTTATCACAATGGCCGTTATCAATATCTGAAAGTTCCGTCGACCCTTAATCTCTCTGAAGTAGAACACTGAGTATATCGTAGCCACGACTCCAGGTACCATCCCATTAATTGGGTATGTCACAGCTTGTGACAGCCGGTCATTAGCCACGAACCATGCCAACATAGCCGTAGCCCATAGGATGCCTCCCCAGAAGGCGGCGATGCAGATTTTTGGGTCGATGAAGGGTTGATTCTGTCGATATACAGTATATACGAGGAAAGCGGCGGTTGATGTGAGGTAGATACCAGTAAAGTGAGGAAAGACATAGTCGATAGCGTCCTTTGAAGGGTTGATGAAGTGAGATGGATTATCTTGGATGTAGATGACTGGGGTGAAGGTAGAGCCATAGCAGATTCCGGCAAAGATTGATAGGATTATACCACTGAAATTTTGAATTTAAAAAGATTTTGAAAATTAAAAAAAATTTTCATTGCACGGTGCAAAAAAACAAAAAATTTTTAAAAATTTCAAATAAAAAATTTGAACTCACACAATCTTCTCCCGACTGACAGTAGCTGGCCTAGGTGTTAGTCGAGGCTGGTCTTCATTGGTTGACTCCACCAGTCCAGCTGCTTCTTCTTCATCTCCAGGTAACGGTGATGGAGGGAGATCCGACTGGTCGTTTCTGTGTAAACCGCCTTCTGAATCTTCGGATTCTGGAGGCGATTTGACTTGAGCGAATAGTAGGCCTCTAAAAATTTAAAGATTTTTTTATTTTCATTTAAAAACTTGAGGTTTCTAACGAAAAAATTGTAAAAAGCGCCATTCTTTTTGCATCAATATTATATACTTATCAATGAAAGTGTTATCAATTTATAGTAAGGCGACTTACCCCACTATAACAAGCGCAAGACCAATATAATTGGCAGCTTCATAGACTGGTACTGAAGCATGTGTACCAAAAAGACCAAATCGACCGATTGCCCAACCAACTGCACAGTTTACCACGCCCCAAATCAGGACTCCCAAGCCTAGACCAACTGCATTTATGATTGGCACAGCTGTTAGGTTACCTGAAAATTGTTTTAAAAATTTTTGAAATTTTTTAAAATTAAATAAAATTAAAAAATTTGAATATACATATAGCCTTACCACTAGCCCAAAGCACACCCCCAAGCATCGCAACCGGCTGGAATTGTGGACTTCCTCTCAACAGGTGCACTATGGCACCAACACAAAATATGGCGGAACACATGACCCATTGCACGAAGAATCCATCCCCAGGCTTGTATTTACGAATCGCTACGAACATTGACCCGAAACATACTACTGATACGACACATGCACTCAGCCCGACCGCCGAGTCACTACTCATCGCTGAAATTTGGCATTCTTTAATTGAGGTTGATAAAAAAATAGGTATACAACAGCTGTAAGATAGTAAAAATAGATGTGAAAAAACTAAAAAATAGTAAAAATAGGTACAAAATGGCCAAAAAATTGTTAAGACAAGAATAAAAAATTGTAAAATTATCAGGTTGTTCAATTAATTCTGTGTTTCTTCTCAAAGCACATTTTTGAGGCTAAGGAACACAGAATTGTTTGAACAACCTAATAGGTATGAAAAAAATAAGGACTAGTAAAACAGATCACTTTAGCTTATGTTATACAGTGGTCTCTCTATACATTGAACCTGTACAAGCAACTCTCTTTATAGTAAACAAGAAATTTGGCCCCGCCAAGTCAATTTGCACTAAAAAGTCTCTCTGTAAAGACAACACCCCTTATAGTGAACACAAAATGTCGGCCCCGTCGGGTTGCTTATATAGAGAGAGTACTGTAGTTATGTTATAGCCAACAAAAGCCAGATATTATATAGCTTTTTACTGACTTTCAAGCCTTAAAAAAGTGTTGTCGCCTATTTACATTGACTTTTCACGCTTAAAAGCGACAAAACTTTTGTTACATTTTTATGTATTAAAAATAGAGGGGGAGAGCTTCAAAGTGAAATTCATAGCTAAAAAATATATTAAATGTCATAACCTTCAAGTAAAAAAAATATAAAAAAAATTGAATTTAAAAAAATGATGATTAAATTTCAAAAAGTTGGAACTAAAAATGAACGAAAAGTAATCAGCTTATCAGTTACAACTTTGAATAATCACATTATAATAAGCTTTGTACAATGCTAGCTTTTATAGAATTAAAAAAAACCATTTTTTATCTGGTGGTCAATAAGTACAATAAATAAATTTTTCAAAAAAAAAGAGCAGACGATCGAAAAGTTTATACAGTACAACCAGGGCCGGGCGCTGGGGGGGGAGGGGGGGGAGAATGTAGGGGGGAGGGGGGGGACACCCCAGAAAAAAAATTTTCGAAAAAAGTTGAATCCTGTAGATTTTTTGGAAAAAAATTTTTTAAAAATTGGCACAGGAGCTACCTGCGCAAATTTTTTTGACTCCCGCCCCCAGACCAAAAGTGCCCGCCCGCCCCTGAGTACAACCCTTTAACACGTTATTACGTCTTCAGACAATTTAGGATTCAGGACAATTCTTAACTCAAAAATCAACAGCAAAGATCATGTTCAACTTTTTTTTAATTTTCTTGACAGTAGCTTCCCCTCAACCTTTATTATGATCAAGTACAACATCAAAAACATTATCAAAAACCTAATTTTCAAAAAAAAAATAAAACTGATAAGACTTGAAAGATATAAAGAATAGTCTAGTCTAGAAACTTTTGAAAAAACAAGAAAAAAGACTAGACGATTTATTTTTCGCGCAAAACATTTCGAAAAAGCAAAAAAAATCATAAAAATTGAAGGAAATGGCTCGCGGGCTAAAAATGTTTGTAAGGTTTAGAGAGCAGAGGTCAGCGCTTTTTTAAAGCTGTTTTGTCACCAAATTCAAGTGATCAAAACACTAAAAAACCAAAAAATAACAGTGCTGCAACTTGCAAGGGTGGTTTCTTTGGTTTGCATGCAAGAGTAGGACTGTGAAGGGGCCGGGCCCAATTTTTTGGCTTGGCTCCTTTCAATCTTGCTTCAGGCATTATTAAATTCAAAATCAGCAGACTTTTTCACTATAAGAAAGAAATAACTTTGCTTACAAACTAAAAAATGGTAAGAACTTTCTTTTCGAAACACAAAATGGCAAGAACTTTCTTTACAAAACAAAAAATGGCAAGAACTTTCTTTACAAAACACAAAATGGCAAGAACTTTCTTTACAAAACAGGAAATGGCAAGAACTTTTTTTACAAGACAAAAAATGGCAAGAACTTTCTTTACAAAACACAAAATGGCAAGAACTTTCTTTACAAAACAGGAAATGGCAAGAACTTTTTTTACAAGACATAAAATTCCAAGAAAATTCTTTACAGATCAAAAAGTGACAAGAACTTTCTTTACAGAACGCAAAATGGCAAGAACTTTCTTTACAAAATAGAAAATGACAAAAACTTTCTTACAAAACAAAAAATGGCAAGAACTTTCTTTACAAAACACAAAATGGCAAGAACTTTCTTTACAAAACAGGAAATGGCATGAACTTTTTTTACAAGACATAAAATTCCAAGAAAATTCTTTACAGATCAAAAAATGACAAGAACTTTCTTTACAGAACGCAAAATGGCAAGAACTTTCTTTGCAAAATAGAAAATGACAAAAACTTTCTTACAAAACAAAAAATGGCAAGAACTTTATTTACAAAACAAGAAAAATGGCAAGGACTTTCTTTACAAAGCAAAAAAATAGCAAGAACTTTCTTTACAGAACAAAAAAACCACAATAATTTTTTTTACTTAGGAAAAAGCAACATTTTTACAAAATTAATAACAGCGGAAACTTTGTGTCCAAAATATCAGAAAGGAAGATGTATCAGCGTATTTTACCATTTAAAACCCGCTATTTGAAAACTAAATTTATGAAACAACTTTCGTAGACAAAAAATGGCCAAAGCGTTGAAATAAGTGAAAGAGAGAATTCTGACCGGCTGGCAGCAAGAGAGAAAGAGCTGTTTCTTAGACACTGGACATTGGAGGACAAACCTTATTAGAATTCGTCTCAAAAGTTGTAATTCATAGTAAAGAGCATAAAAGTGCAGTTTGTTTTAAAAATAATTTGAAAGTACAAAAACCATAATTTTTCAAAATTTTAAAATTAAAAAAAATTAAAAAAAATGTAAAATACGATTTCAAATGCAATTCTGTAACATTTATCTAAGTAATGTGCACTAGCACTTCTGTATAACAACTTGATCGGAAATTTGAAATTTTTTCGTTATAAAAGAGTTTCGTTATACATGAGTTTTAAAAAGGTTAAAGAAGTTTCGGTAGGGGTGAGGAACGGATCGAGCCGGGCTCACTTTTCAAGCACTGGGCCCGGAGCTCATGATTTAGGCCCGTCTCGTCTTTCATCTTTTCTCAGACTGGCTGGGCTTAGTCAAAAAAGTTAGACATGAGAAACGGACTGGGCCGGTCCTGAGCTTAATTTTGAGGTTAGGCCCGACCCATTTCTCATGTCTAAAAAAAGTTGTAGGCTTTGCATGGCTCGGCCCGTTTTCATTCTTTCTCAAGCCGGTCTGGCATGGTTATAAAAGTTCAAGGCCCGGACTCAGGGTCAGTTTTCATTTTTTCTCATTCTACCGCAGGCTGGTTAAAAACGTTCTAAGCGCAACCCTAGTCTAGCTCATTTCAATAAAAGTTAAGTTTTTTTGGGTTTAGCTCTACGTTTTAAGCCTGATCCATTTCAAATGTATCTCAGGGCTGCCTCGGCCTGTTTTTAATCCTTAGGTTTTGGTGTAAAAAAATTCGTTATAAAGAAGTTTAACAGTAAAATTCTTAAATTTATATAACATTTGAATTTTTTTATGATTTTGTAAAAATTTTTTTTAAATTTTAAAGTTTTTTAAATTTTTTGCTAGTTTTTTTCTAATTTTTTAAAAATTTTAGTGTTTAAAAAAAATTCAAAACCTACTTACTGTAACAAGCATCAGCAAGATTCTCGTAACAACTCTTAATTTGCGTATTTTAAATTAACCGACTTTCCTCGTAATTACCTGAAATTCACAGTTTTTGGTATTACGACAAAAACAAGAAATGAGTTCGATTGCAATCTTCAGATATTTGTCATAGTAAAGACACGTTAACCAGTTATTACTGTCTGACATACGTTTTACTCAGAGCTGGCGGAAGCTTATCAGTAGATTTATGATGTTATTATAGTGGGTTTGATGGCGTGAGCTTGTGGCATCTTTTAACTTAAAAAAAGTTTTTAAAATTAAGGTTGGCTTTATAGTAAAGCGGAGAAAGAAGGGGTAGATAAAAAAAAGGCAAAAAAATTTTTTTTAATATTTAGTGTAGATAAGGCAGAGCTAAAGCTAAGGCTAGAACTAGGAATAGGGCTATTGCTTTGGTTTAGGGTTCTGAGCTCTGGGTTAGGTCTCTGGGTTAGAGCTCTGTGCTAGGGCTCTGGGCTAGGGCTCTGGGCTAGGGCTCTGGGCTAGGGGTCTGGGATAGGGCTCTGAGCTAGGGCTCTGAGCTAGGGCCTTGGGTTCTGGGCTTGGGCTCTGGGCTTGGACTCTGGGCTAGGGCTCTGGGCTAGGTATTGTAACAAACTTACCGTACTTTCACTATGAAATACTTGACTCTCTACTTTATGTCATACGTACATTCAGTAGCTCTAAACAAACAAAAAGTCGAGAATCTCGATGCTTTAGTCATTAAGTCGCATATAATGCATTTTGTTTAACGGAGCAAGTTTTATTGAAGGATTCTGAACATTGTTTGCTTTTGTTTTTAGCTGATTCGAGTGCGAATTGTTCGTCTTCAAGCTGGAGTTCGTTACGCGTTTTGGATTTTCGCTTCTCCCGGTTTCAAGGCATTGTAGAAGGAGGCGGGGTGGGGGTGAGAAGTGCAAAGAAAGTTTTTGCAATTGTAGTTTGTAAACAATGTTCTTGCAATTTTTTGCTTTGTAAAGAAAGTTCTTGCCATTTTATGTTTTGTAAAAAATTTATAGGGTTGGGAGGCACTCTGTAAACAAAGTTTTAGCTATTTGTAGTAAAGGAAATCAAACTTGTGGTACCCTTAAGAACCCAAGAGAAACCTCTTCTTAATTTCAAGACTTTACAAATTGAATGAAATTATGAAACGGCCTTGAATGTGGGCAAATGAGATTCAGAATTGGCGTTTTCTTTGGCGGAACATCTGCCCATGCTATTCAACTTGTCAAGTTATGAGTTCTTGACTCTGGAAAGCAAGGTCGTTTTGTCATTTTAGGCTTGTATATACTTGTAGGTGTAGTCTATTCTAGTCAATAAGGTAAATCTAAGGAATGTAGAGTGGAGTAGGATAAAGTAGGGTAAGGTAGGCTAGGATA